TGTAAATCAGTCTCCAAGTAAAAAGACACATCAGTACAAAAGTGGGAAAGAAGAATCATAATTCTGCATACTTCAGTTGTGATTTTCCTGTATTATTTTACCTTTTTTTTGTTTTATACGCTGCATGATTTAAATGTACTTACCACGCAATACTCTTAAAACCAAGATTTGTTTTGGTAATAAATACACATTGAGACTTTAGCTGAGTCTTTATTTTTACTTTTTCAACTTAACATTTGTTTTTGCTATGTTTGGATTGTTGTTAAAATTTTTCATTGCTACAAATTTGATTTTCAGTTATTTTAACACTTAAAATTGACAGTTATAGTTTTTCTTAGTTGCAAGTCTTTAACTTAATTAAAGGAATACTTAAAAGTAAAAAGAAATTTCAGTTATTTTATGTGTTTATAATATAATGTCAATACATATCAGTATATCATTATTTGATTTTTAAGAACTCAAATATTGGTATCAGGCTCTACTTTGTCATTTTGTTTGAACAGGTGTTACATGGCAGACACCTAATTTAGAAAACATTGTTTAGAATTAGGAAAGACTGAAAAAAAAAATCAGTAAAATAATTTATTTTCTTTTTTCTACATGGCAAAGACAGAATATATAATGCAACAACACAAAAAGAACAGAAAATTAATTTTAAGAACATAAAAACAAACTTAAGCCGCAAAATTAAAATTAAAAAAAAGATTTCTATCAACAATGTAGCCTATTATTGCCATTACGTTTTAAAACCTCTGCTTCCCTTGACCAGGCCCATGCTTCAAAAAGAAAGAAGGAAAGAAAATAAACTACAATTCCAAAGATGCCTTGCGCACCGGAAGTAACCCGCCAGCTCACCGGATATCTGCTCGCGCCGCCTCGAAAAGGCCCTTTTCCGTCTCAGAGAAGTGTGGTACAGAACGGCAGACAAAAGTGAGTGAAATATTCACATTTTACTCCCTTCGTATGTCTCCAGAAACATTATTATAGGACAATTAGAAGCGGTAACGACTCCCGTTGTCCGAGAAATAAGAGCAAAACATCTCAGTTTGGTTTTAATGCTTTATTTAAGTTGTCCTGCGAGCACAACGGCGCTGAGCGTTAGCATGTAGCTAGCTTGTTAGCACATGTGGATGCGGCATGTTGAGCAGCCACCTCGATAGATGTCACTCCCGGTACTTTATTTCACTTATATCTGCGATCTTATTGTTACTCTTGGTACGTTATAAAGGTAGAAAATTCCATCACCGGTAATTATTGTTAAATGTCGCCATTTTCAAGTGTTCGTTAGCTTGTCTGCTGACAGGTAGCTGACGTTACGTTAACTTTGGGGAAGAAGGCTTCAGCTCGGGCCCTGCTGTGAAAATGTGGCTGTTTAGATCCATGATCTGAACTAACATTTAGTCTTTACGTTATATTCAAGTGTCTGTGCAAAAAAGAAGTATTTGGGTATCGGTCTGTCTCGGTAGTGTGAATGTACCGTCGGGTAGGTTAGCACAAAAGCGGGTTTAGCTTTGCGATGAATCTGAATTAGTGTAATAAATTGTTGATTGAGATGTATATTAAACTGTCATATGATTTATTTTCCTTGGCTTGAATTGGGGCTGAGCAGTATGTAGACAGTCTGAGCTTTCTTCAGACCTGTTCTGTTATTTGCCTTTACCCATTTAGTCATCTTTTTCACATTACATCATATTATTTTTCAGAAATCTCATTGTATAAATACTTTGTGAAAGCACCAGTATTCAACCCCACAGTAGTATTTGGTCCAAAACATATTTACATTTTATATTTTTCTGTTGCCCAGCCCTTGCTTGAATTGACCTCCTGCTTTTTTTAATCCTCAGTGACTGAGTGGGAGAATGCCCCAGCTGTGGCTGAGTCCCCGGAGATCAAGCTCTTCGGCAAGTGGAACACAGATGATGTCCAGATCAGTGACATCTCCCTGCAGGTAAGCAACAGACAGTTACTGCTTGTCTGTTGAATGTCATTTTTAATTAAGTACGATTATATTTTAGCTTCTAGAAATTAGATTTTTTTCACCAATAATTGTTCTTATAAACTGCTTAATGTTATCAGCTGAAATAATTGTATGTGATGCATTAAGCGAGGCTAGAGTCACGCTTGGACACTGACCTGTTGTCCTGGTGTGCTAGAGTGCTCGCAGAGGAAAATGTCTTTGCTTATTCATTGGCTGTAGCCTGTCGTGGCCCAGTCAATCACCAACTCAGACACATTTACTCTTCACAAATGCTATGCCTCAGCGATGCTGGGTTCAAATCTGTATGATCCATGATGCTTAAATCACCTCTTTGTTCACTACAGGATTACATTGCTGTCAAAGAGAAATACGCCAAGTACCTGCCACACTCTGGAGGACGTTATGCCGCCAAGCGTTTCCGTAAGGCCCAGTGCCCCATTGTGGAGCGTCTGACCAACTCCATGATGATGCACGGCCGCAACAACGGCAAGAAGCTGATGACCGTGCGCATCGTCAAGCATGCCTTCGAGATCATCCACCTGCTGACTGGAGAGGTATGTACCACTGACTTTCACAACAACTGTTGCTCGTTTGGTGTGACTGCTCAGTGTGTGAAGTATGAGTAAGACAGTCAGCAAAAGATCAAGGTGTTTGGAAGGCAGCATTCAAATCTAAGCTATAGGAGAGGGTGACCTTTGATACATGATAAACAGTTTCCAGCGGACACTATGAGACAGGTTTTCATTGTTTTTAATCCTGGTCTTTACACAGTGATGAAGAGTAAAATACAAATAGGCTGTTAATTATGTCACAGGCACTGTTAAAATGACCAAATACAAGAAGTATAATTGATTGAAATTTCTCAACTATTTTAAATTTTGCCCCACAGAATCCCCTCCAGGTCTTGGTGAACGCCATCATCAACAGCGGACCCCGTGAGGACTCCACCCGTATCGGTCGTGCTGGTACCGTCAGGAGGCAGGCTGTCGACGTGTCACCCCTCCGCAGAGTCAACCAGGTAACCACGCTCATTTACATCAAAATTGTTTTCTTATGGTTTTTGATTCAGTATGTAGCATTACAGCAACATAACATCAGATAAAATGAGGTGTTGTACATTCACATATCTGGCAAATACGCTGTTTGTTAGTGCAAGTGTGAGAATTCGGGAAAAACTGAATTATCTTGATGTTAGTGCAGTAAACATCAGCCAAATGATGACCTCTACATTTCATTGATTGGAGCTGACATGTCAGGAGCTTCACAGTATAATACATGTGAGGAAAGCTAGGAAGTGTTTTTGATGAGTTCTTTCACACAGGACAAAAATATTATGCAGTGAGAAAGCAGGGTAATTTTTTTTTTTCGCTTTCGCACTGTGAATAAACACATCTACCAATCACACTGCATCTATATCTGAGGATTTTAAGACACAGTCTCTGTAGACTGAACCAATACAGCCAACTTTTACTTCTTTCACCCTTAACAAAGGCAGCGCATTCCGCTTCTTCCTTTCCTACTTTTCACAATAAAAGCCCCTAGACATATACACTGTGTAACTGGTTACCAGAGGGAACTTAAATTCACTCATAGATCGTTTCGCTAAAATGAAAACTCAATAAAATAGCATACAGTGGCAGAACCTTCAAATTTTAAAAGGCATTGCATCAATTGATCTAAAAATAAGGTCTTAATTGGTGTTGAAACGTCTGTCACCCTCTCGAGTCTTAAAAATGCTAAGACATGGAAAATAGGACATAATAAATTTTTTTTTTCAGATGTTGCATTGTAAAATGTCAATAATTGGTAACTTAAAAAAAAAATTATATATATATATATCCCATGTCTTAATGTAACCAAGTCATTTTTATGTTACAATAAATATTTAGGCAAAATTGTCCCTTACCCCAAAACCACTCAGGTTGGATATGTTTTTCTTCAATTTAGGTTCGTGTAAAATTGTTTTTTGATTTCGTCCCGAGTGGCGTTGAGTCTTTAACCCAACTAGCCTTAAGCTGTAGGAACCCTGCTCAGACTATACAGCAACTTACTGCCAGATGCTCGCTGGGTCAGTAGGATCACGCTAGCAATCACAAATTCCCGTCACTGCCTGCGAATGTTACGCATGAAAACCTTGTATTGAACAAATGTTGTAATTGTTGTTAATCTACATCACTGCTGGTATAAATGGTTTGGATGCTAAATATTTGCAGGTGAGTATTTTGCACTGTCATGCCTTTATTTGTCATACACCCCGGTGTGTGAAGTCCTGTATTCTCATTGGCTGTACTGATTTTGTATTTGATGCATTAAGCGAGGCTAGAGTCACGCCTGGATACTACCCATTGTTCTGGTGTGCTAGAGTGCTCGTAGAAGAAAATGTCTTTGCTTATTCATTGGCTGTAGTCTGTTGTGACCCAGCCAATCACCATCTCAGACACATTACACTACCCACCAGTGTTAGTTCCACCAAAGTTAATTTGTCAGCCACTAATGTCCTGCTCTCTCTCTCTCATCTGGTAGGCCATCTGGCTGCTGTGCACAGGAGCAAGAGAAGCTGCTTTCAGGAACATCAAGACCATCGCCGAGTGCCTGGCTGATGAGCTGATCAATGCAGCTAAGGTATCAGTTTATCCACTTATAGCATGATCATTATCCTCCAATGTGCAGTGTAGAATGACTTGCAGATAACTCAAGCCTTCTGATACTGAAGTATTGAATGTTAGGAGATAAGGTGTTGAGAAACACAATGTAATTATGATCCACTGTATTTTGCTGTGAAATAAGTTTATGTATATTAAACTAAATTTCTCCTCCTTGCAGGGATCATCTAACTCTTACGCCATCAAGAAGAAGGACGAGTTGGAGAGAGTTGCCAAGTCCAACCGTTAAACATCTTTGCTTTCTATCAAAACAAATAAATTTGAAGAAATTTCTGATGTCGTGACACCTTTTTCCTTCTCATGCACTTCTATACATAGTTGTACAGTGAACAGATGAAAGAATTACACACGTTTCTGGATTTAAGTTGTCACTTGAATTTTATTGGCATCACTACACTTGCTACAAATTCACACATAAGAAAGCTAAAAGTTATTTTAAAAACTCTGCATTTCTATTCTTAGCAGCTACATGTCCTGGAATTAAAACTTGTCAGTATAGTGACTTAAAGAGTAGTGAAACAGATACCAACCTGTTGTATTGTGGACAGAAGAGATGTACATTGTCATCAATCTGCAAACATGAATTTGAGTACCACAGGATATCTGCAAGTCTTCAAAAACACTGAATTCACTTTCCTTAAGTGGTATCCAAAAGTTTTTTTCTGCAGCTTGCTGTAAGCAGTAATGTTAGTTACAAAAGGCGGAGTTTGCAAGAGGGGAACACCAGAAATTTGTTAAGCACAGACAGCAGAGTGTGAGGAGTTACTGGCTAAATTTGACAGTGTATTCTATTAAAACTGCTGACTCCACCTTTACATGAATCAGTCAATTCAATATGCTACATGTCCAGGTGACATAAATTACATATAAGACTGCCAGGAAGTAGTAAAAATTTAAAATTATTGGCCATATCAATACTGGTTTTTCTTTACACTTGAAACATTATAAAACACTTCACCTGCAAAATTAGCATTTGTATATTAATTACTTGCCAAGTGTTACCTTGAATCAGTGAAGAAATTTACACTGAATGAAGAATCCAAAAAGGGGAAAATAATTCAAGAATTTTAAGTTATCTGGGGCCACATTTAACAACAGTAAAACTGTATCAAAACATCAGTTAACAGACACACAACTCAGTAAGTATAATCCAAGTCTTAGTTATCCAGTCATAGATATACTCAGTACTTCCCAAACATTTAAAACACTTTTGATTACAACTAGCACACCCTACTAGCTACCAACATCCTACGAGTGCACACATGTATGAGCTCACTTGAAACAGCCTTCAAACCCATGCATGAGACTTCTCCAATTAAAGCGTTCTATTGAAAATGAATGTGTTTGGGAAGTACTGAGCACACAACTGGATAGACTTGGATTATACTGCACGAGTTGTGTAAGAGTTAACAGATGTTTTGATGTATTCACCTTTTCTGGATTCTCCGTTCACCATAGAGACATGAGAAAAAGTGTTCTTTACAAATTCAGTGCAACACAAGCGAGTAATCGATAACACAATGATCATTCTGTGGGTGAAGTATTCTTTCAAATTGCATTCTGTGGTATTAAAACAGCTTAAAAATCTTGACTTTGGTACCAACATTGTCTCTTTTTCACATTTCTACCAGTTTCAGTCAAAGTGATCTGTCAGCTCAGTGGCTATCTGCAGAAACTGGAAAAGTCGTCATAAGTTTAACAGTGAGAAACTACAGTTTGAATTTAGTGGTTTCATGGACGGTTATTTCTGAAGTCTGATGCATTCACTTGAGAAACCTTTTTTGCTACTTTCTGAATTTAAAAATAAAAGAAAAATATTTTTAAAAAAACTTTTAATGGAAAGAAATTCTGCTGTCATTTTTAAAACAGAGCAGTTATTTTCTCAGGTGAATGCATCACACTTCCCCAAGTTGTTTGAGTTGTGTGTGGATATCAGTGTGCTACACTGTTCGTTCAGCAGGGGGGGCAGCGGTGCCAACAATCAGCTACATTAAGTCAGTTAACAGATGTTACCAGTTGGATCATTTTCTCATACAGATGCTGTGAGTCAGTGATTTTCCTTAGGAATAAATACACAAAAAAAATCTTAATTTGTGGAAAGTGTATCTGCGATGTGGTCACTGTTCACCCCGCCATGAGCACGTGCAGGTAAACCCCTGCGGTGTGTTTTCAGAAATACGTGTGCTTTCTGTTGATGAGGAGGCAGAGCGAGGACAGAGATGCTCCCAGTTTGGCGGCCTCACTGCAGGCTGTCGGCAGGAGGGTGTAGTCCTGGAGCTTCTGGAAAGCCTGCAGGGAGAACGGAGGGAACAACTTACTCATCCAGACAGACGTGACTGGATACACTCACAGGAAAGAAGTTCTTGGCCAATAAGAGATGGAATGAGACTTTAGTGACTGTTAATGTTGACTGGATATTACTGATTATCTCTTTTCTTTGACTTCTAAAATGTAAAATGTCAGGTTTGGAACTTCCTCTACACAAATGGGTTTAATGCATCAAATAAATAATTATTAACCCACTAGGTTCACACACTGCCCAGTAAATAGTAGTGTGGTGTGCAGTGTGTGTGCAGTGGTGGAAGTACATTTACCCAACTGCTGTACTTGTGAGGTACTTGTACTTGAGTGTTTCCTATTCATGGAGCTTTATACTCCTATTTCACTACATTTGTGAGGGAAATATTGTACTTTTTACTAGAATACAAATATTTGATGGTTTACAGATTTACATTTTTTTAACATATCAAACACAAGGAGTTTATAAAATATGTTGGTGTTACAAATTAAACGTCTGTACTAAGTTTTTCATTGCCTAAGGCTGGAGCAAGCTGTCATTGGGTGTATTCTCGAGAAAAAAGCCACCGCCTGCTTTATGATTAAGTGTGGAAACCTCACAGGGACAGTTCACACCCAAATCAAAAATACATATTTTTCCTCTTACCTGTAGTGCTATTTTTCAATCTACATTGTTTTGGTGTGAGTTACCGAGTGTTATCGAGCGAGATGTATGTCTTTTCTCAAAAATAATGAACTAGATGGCACTCAGCTTGTGGTGCTCAAAGCACCAAAAAATGCATTTGAAAAACTCAACAGCAATGTCTCTTCCCAGAAATCATGACCCGGTTACTCAAGCTAATTCACAGACCTTGTTGTGAGCAGTATCATGGAGGAACTATTTTCTTTCTGTCAAACTACACCCACCAGCTGTATAACTGTGCAAAAGTAAACATGCATCTACTGCTAGCTCACCTAGCACCACTGAGCTAGCTAACATTTCAGCTCAGCCGAGGAGGATACCATTAATGTTTACATCTTGTGCTGTCATGACTATGAGCCTCTTATCGATGAGTAGATGCACGCTTCCTTCTCTATAGTGATACGGTTGCTAGGTGTAGTTCAGTAGAAAGAAAATAGTTCCTACATGAAACTGCTCACAAGAAGGTCTGTGGATTATCTTGAGTAACCTGCTGTTGAGTTTTCAAAAGTATTTTTTGGCGCTTTGAGCACCACAAGCTGAGTGCCATCTTGTTCCATTATATTGGAGAGAAGGCAGACATCTCTACGGCCGATATCTCCAAAAACTCAGCAACTCACACCACAACAATCATGTTTTATTGGTCTTTATATGATGTTTTAAAGGCTACACTTTTTACTTAAATGTCCTTGTTGTGTTTGAGGAAGTTTACCTTTTTGTATGACGGAAACAGTGCAGAAGGAAGCGTGCATCTACTCATCGATAGGAGGCTTATGGAGCACCATAGCTGGGTGCCATCTAGTTCTATTATTTTTGAGAGAAGGCAGAAATCTCTACGGCCAAAAGTACTCTATAATTCACTGACTGATAAATAGCACTACAGGTAGGAAGAAATATATGTATTTTTGATTTTGAGGCGAACCTTCCTTTTAAAAAGGTATTAAAGGCTAAAAAAAGCTTGCGACTTGCAAAGCTACTTTAATTTATTTTTTTATTTTATGTCAAATCAGCATTATCTCAGTGATAACAAAAGCCTGCCTGTCAAAAGCCTGTCAGCCAGAAAAATAGACAGACAAAAACTGTTCAGTTGAACTGATTACTATGAAATAACAGATTTAAATTAAGTTGGTAACGTTGCTACTTGTAGTGACGCTACTGCCCAACACTACGTATCTCAGCCCTAGTCAAAGTTATGGAAGCCCATTTTCAACATTGTGATGAAAAAAAAAAAAAAAAGATCTAGTGAGTCATTATAACAAAACTTTCTCAAAATAATGCGTTACTATTATTGTCATTATTAAGATATTAAGTCAATATTTTGAGTCGTTTTTCCTTATGTCTGAGGTGTTAAGTCATTTTCAGATATTAAATTAATATTTTAAGAAGTTCCTCATTATTTTGTGATACTAACTCATTATTTTAAGTACTTTGCTCATTATTATTTTTTTAATATACTTTATTAATCCCCCTGAAATTCAATTTTTTCACTCTGTTGTCATTAACATACAGGTCTGAAAGACACACACATGCACATGCAACAGGACCTATACATGCACAAAGTGGAGAGATGTCAGAGTGAGGGGGCTGCCTTGATCAGGCGCCCCGAGCGGTTGGGGGGTTTGGTGCCTTGCTCAAGGGCACCTCGGCCGTGCCCAGGAGGTGAACTGGCACCTCTCCAGCCACCAGTCCAAGCTCCATATTTGGTCCGGACGGGGACTCGAACTGGCAACCCTCCGATTCCCAACCCAAGTCCCTATGGACTGAGCTACTGCCACCCCATGTAATGACAGGATCTTGCAAACAAAAGTCACCTTTCAACTCACTATTCTGAGACAAACAAACAACAAGCAACCCCTGAGTGCACACAATTTTCAGGATATCTCAACGCTTGTCCTCCCACCTACTCACATTTTTAACAGGTCAACAATGAACGACAACGCCGCGAGTGAGATAGAGAGGTTTCACTTCATTTCAGATCTTGGGTCACAAGAGGCAACAGTCACAGCAGTGCTTAGTTTTTTTTTCATGTAAGCTTTTCATTTTAATATTTCTGCTCGGATTTCTGTTCTGCTTTGCATCAGTTACAGAGAGTTACAACGTAGATGTGCATCACAGGAAAAAGTCCTTCTGGGCTCTTCTCGGTCCTCATATTCATAGTCCAGGGGCCTACTGCAGTCTCTGTTTCTTCTTATCAATAATTCATTAAATAAAAGTCAGAAATAACTCAGTGCTGACCTACAACATTTTAATACAGCTTGACAAGTGGACTTCCTGGAGCTGAAGCAAAAGGGAACAGAAAGAAGTGGCTCCTGACTTCATTTAAGGGACAATCCACCCATTTTGCACATGCAGATAAGTTTACTTGATGTGGTAAGCACTACTCAGTCTGTGAAAACAGATGTATAAAGTCTTCTGTGGCTCTGAAGGAGCTTTCTAAAAAATAGCCCTGATGTTGTCACGGATATTTTGGATTGGAGACTTCAAATCTTTTTAGTCTATTTTGAGTTTGACAGATGTGGATGTTTTCAAGACAGAGAGGGGGAAAATAAAAAGACGTTGAGTTGCATTTTGGAACCGTAGGATCCAGTGTTTTTAGGAGCTCATAGGGATAGTTTAGATTAAGACAGTTTAAAACTGCTCGAGGCAGCTGTAGACCAGCAACTCCTGTGTTCTGCAAGGTAAAATTACTGTTTTTCTCAATGGAGTCTAGCTTTGAGGAAAGCAATATAAAGGCCCGATGCACCAAACTGACTTGAAAGAACTAGTGCCCCCCTCTGCTTCACCTGACGTCACCTTGTCTTGGCTGAAAGTTGCACAAGAACACACCACAAAGACTACAGCCGACAGCCAACCAGCATGGACATAAACTATCCCGAAACATTTCTGCTGAAGAGCTCAATGCATAAAGAAAAATAACCTTGCCTTATGCAACAAGTTTGTTTTGATCTCACTCCCTCCTGACTTTAGCTGTTGTTTACTTTCCTCACTTCAGTTTCTCGACTCATGCACTGAGCCGAACTGTGAAGTGACTGGCAGTTCAGCTAATGAATGACAGCGGAGCAGTCATTAACAGACTGCTCCACCATCAGCAATGGCAATTCAACATGCTGAATCAGCCAAAAAACAGCCAACGGAGGCTGATTAGTGGCAACTGTGAAAGACACACCACATCGACTAGGGTGACAGATGCTCACTGATGGCCCAACATTAACTGACAGATGATCGCCGGCTTGGTGTGTCGGGGCCTTACTGACTTCTGTTCTTTGACAGAGAGAGCTGTCTGCAGTGAGTGAAGGTGGTGATAATATTCTGAATGTAGTGTATGCTTTTTTTTGGTGGCTAAAATACGTTTTTCTGCTGCCCTCGTCCACAGGGACACGTTGACCACCATCTATTGTAGGTAATACACTGATTATGGATAAGTACCTCACACAACCTTGGTTCAAAAAGTCCAAACTATCCTTTTAGCCTAAATTACAGACTTAAATTCAGGATATGTCAACCTCTGCAGCTTGTTCTTTTTACTCATCTATCTCTTCCCAGATTTATGGTAGCACAATATTAAATTGCCAAAGACAACATAAAACAATGCTGCCATCATCCTTTAATTTAACAAATCTGAGTGTCTTTTTGATGAAGCAGGCCTGCAATAAAAAATCTAAATCCTCAGCTGTACTCACAGAGACACTGTCAGGACATTCCTCTGCAGGCCGGTGGAGCAGGAAGTTGAGTTTGGACGGCCCTTTGATGTAGATGCAGTTTGCTGCGGATTCCTCTGGAACAGTGAGAACTTCATAGTGGTGATCAGTCAGCTGCTCCATCATCTGGAGACAAACACGCAGGCATACTTAATGTCACTGTGCACCACCCTGACTCACACACACACACACACACACACACACACACACACACACACACACACACACACACACACACACGCATATTGCAACAGACCGCTCCCAGCATTACACACAGACTCAAAGGCAGTATCAGTGCTATTATTATTATGACCTCAGCAGTTAGGAAATGAGAGACATGTGCAGTTTATTAGGACAGAGAGAAGGGAAACACTGACACTATGTATGATAGATAATAACGTCAGTATTGACTGTTAAGAGATCTTGAAGCATGTGTGTACACTTTAAAATGACATATTAATTTGAGGTTAAAGGAATAATGTGACATTTTGGTAAACACAAGCAGCAACCTCCAGGGCTGAAAAATGAAGCCAACGCACACGTGCCAAAAACTGCAGTTCCTTGAATGGCCACTTGAGGCTGGCTCCAGAAGCCAGTCAATCCCCATGGACCCTCATGCTAAAATGCCCAACTTCACAGCAGAAATAAACATGTTTACAGCCTGGGACAAAAACAGCTTTGGCCTCTATGGCTAATTTCAACATTCATGATAAACTGTGCAGGGGTGAATTTTTACATAACTCACTCGTTTACATTTTATTAGGCGTAAAGTTACACATAGTTAAGGATGGGCTGCTTTGAGTGACAGGATGTCTGCCAGTAGCATCTTCTCAGTCAGATCCACCCATTGCTCCTCCACAGCACCAGCCTCTCGCCTAAATATGGTCATTTCTGGCTCCAAAAAACCAACATGGCGATGGCCAAAATGCCGAACTCAAGGCTTTAAATCAGAAGTCCACATCACAGTAGCTACGTCCATTATTTATACAGTCTATGGGGAAACACCGTTAATCGTGATTGGTGTCAATCATCTCATCTCACTCTCAGTAGAAAAATTACTATGAGCATCTTCTGCAAAATGCCAATCTATTCCTTTAAAGATATTTAAAGTATTTTATATTTTTTAACACCAACACACACATACAGAAACATGACTTACCCGCAGTGTCTTTTTGGCCCCGTCACTGTTGCTGATGATGATGGTATCTGGACCTCCCATGGAGCAGATGTTTCTCAGTCGGGCTCCGCCACAGACGGGGACGGTGGACACAGCAAAGTCCTGAACAGATGGATGTTGAAAAGGTTTATTCACACACATTGTTCCTCCAAGTTTCTTTCACAACAAACAAAGCGTCCTCCAGTTGTGTGGTAAGAGACCTTTTTCACAGCAGACATTCTGTCATAGCAGGAAAAACACAAGTGTTACTAATAACCTGGCTAATAACTTGTGAGTCGACACAAAGCAGCCTGCTGTGTGATTCTAAAGTTTCCTGTGAAGGATCAGAGGCAGTCATGCAATCGCCATTTCTTGGTCTGACTCGTCCTGTAATACAGCTTAGCACAGTAAATCATGAGGATGACACGAGAAACATAATTTAAGGGTATACTAAACAGGAAGTTTCAGTATTGCCAGCTGAAGTAAAACCCAACCCCAGATTCACTCTCATTTTGGGATGAGCTTTGTTTGTTTGCCGTTTTGCCTTGTTATCTTTGGCATTTTTTCAGCATTGTGTCCGTGATTTCCTTTGCTTCCTCTTGGATGCTTGCTGCTCACGGTCTGGCACCTGGTCACTATCTTTTCCTGTTACAAAGTTTTAGATATGAAAATGGTTGTTTTTAAACATACTTTAGCTTCCACAGTATATGATGATTGTGTCCATCTTCGACACCTGCTGTACGATAACAGCCTCCAAAAACAGTGATTTTTTCTATGCTTTTATTAATTTGTCAATAGTTTTGAAGGTATATGGTCATGAACCAAACCGTTAGATAAATTAAAAGTCTGACTTGATGAAATTTCCAATTGTTGTTAAAATACTGCACTCAAAACTACAAATATTAACCTCATAGTGGTGCTAGAGAAAAAGACACAGGGTTACCAAAATCAGCAGGATTCATCCTCTGTATCAAATCTCAGAGTCAATCCAATAACCAGAGCTGCCATCCCTGGCTAAAAATACAAAGCTATGCATCAACACTGTGTAACACACACTTGTAATACTGTAATTTTATGAATGAAAACTGAAGAATGTGCAAAATGCTTCTGTAACAATTATGAAACATGATACAGACGATGTAAATGCTCTGCTGGTCTTCCTCTCTCATCCACCACATGATCCCACCCATCTGCACTAATTCATACCAGACACACACGACACAACAGGAGATGCTAGATGCTAAATGTGTGTGTGTGTTTGTGTGCGTGCGTGTGTAGCAGAAGTGTGTAAAACGTAATTAAGATAAGTGGCATAATCAATACTAATGTATGGGTCGTGTCGAGCCTGGGGGGCTCACTGTGTGGCCTCCATTATTTGGCCAATAGAACGGCCTCATTCATCACTGTTTACAGACTATAATTCCCCAAATGCAACACAGCAAACGGCCACCTGCTCACTTTGGCAGCTGGATTTGTTTCCTGACAAGCATCTTGGCACTGAGATAGTCTTTGTTGCACTGGCTGAAAACTCTGCTGGTTACATTATTTATTGGAATGGAGGAGATTTCAGATAAGTGTCTCTGAAATAAATCATCCTGATTTAACACCCTTTATCACATATAGATGCTCGCATTCTTGACAGAAGGCTCAAAGCAAAAACAGTTTGAGAAAGTACTCTTGTCTGCTTCACACAGAGCTTCAGTCATTGCTACATCTCCTCTCCATGCCTCCTACCCTGAAAGTGTCTGCCAGCACTTCTGCCCCTCTGTGGGTGGTGTGGGACGAGATGCCGACAAAGAACTCCCTCCCCGTGAAGAGTACGTCGCTGCCCTCCAGCGTGGCCCCTCCGGAGTCCCCCTCCTCGCCCCCCATCTCCACCACAGTCAGGTTCAGCTCTGACACCACCCTCCTGACTGCCTCCACCTGGAGAGATGAAGAGTAAAGAGAAGGAAGCAGAGAAAGCAATACATTAATATATGTTACTCTGGATGAACATAATTTTTCATGTAATTCTATTACTGTTAGTATTTTCTATCTATTTATATTTTCATTATCATTTCAGTGCACTCAAGTAACCTTCTGTAACCTCTTCGTAATCATTTCCAACAAGTTTCCTTGAAAAAAAAAAAAAAGGTAAAATAAATAGATAGTCTGGCACAGGAAGTTAGATGAGCATGTACGAATGTGAAATTTGTTCCTCATATAAGAATTAAGGTTCCAGTAACATATGAACAACGAAAACGGAAATTCTTATTTTGTCTACAGTTAGGACTAAATTACACTGTTCTTCCCACTGAAATTGCTAGGATAATGTCAGGATATTACAGAACTGTAAAGCAAAGCGTTGAAGCCACCTTTCCTTACTTCCTAACCACCTTACTGCATACCTTTTAACTTTTGTGGCTGCATCTTACACAGTTGTGAAGCTATTATTTTGACAAAATCTTTCCACAGACAGACAGAATACTCAAAACTACTTCCATGGTAGTTCTTGTCACAATAGGTGTCTCCAGGAGCATGTTTTGCCATAATCACACACACACACACACACACACACACACACACACACATACATACACACACACAAAGACTCAAGGAGAAAACAATACTAGTCCTACTGTCATGGCTGGTGACATCCCTGATATAAGTCACTTCAGCTGCCAAAAAGCATTAATTGCTTTACAAAATCCAGGCTAAAGACAAACAATAAAAGAGTCTACTCTCAAGTCTCAGATGTTTGAGTTTCTTTAAGGCAACTGAATGCACCAAAAAGTCACAACTACGATCTCTTGGAACATGTGACAGAAATAAAAAATAAAATACTAATGGCAACTAAATTTTTATCAGTAAGTATTTGCTGCAAGTTCATTCTTATACCAAACTGATATGAACTGAAACAAAAGCCTACTACATGCTGTCCTTTACAATAACAGAGCAGGATTAAGTGCAGAGGATTAGGGTGCAGAAAGTCCAGAACTAATGCCATTTTTCTTCGTGTTACCTCGCTGCGTCTCTGCTGTTTGAAGGGCCTGGTGATGAGCGCCGTGTCTCCCTGGATGACTGCCACATCCTCTATCCTCCAGCTCTCTGGCAGCTCAGGGTCAGGGGGGATCTCGATCAGCTGCAGGCCCACCTTCTGCCTCAGGGCTCCTGTCAGGCAACCAAACTGACGCTGAGCTTTGGCCAGGTCCACCGAGGTCTCCCCGTTCTCACGACTGTCTCCTGCTGCTTTTCCAAAGGTCTCTGGGATGCCCCGCACCACGGCGTGGGTGAAGCGGCCATATGGGCACATGTTTGCCATGATTTCAATAAACTGATAATAACCGTCTGTCTATAAAAAGTGGTAGCAAGTGTGATAAAAAGATGTGTGTAGGCAACTTTTTTTTTACAGTCTTGTTTTGAAAAAGCACTGTTAAACTCTCTCAGGTTGGATCAGCAGGTCCAGGAGGAACGTGGAGAGCATCTTCATCCCTCTCTCCCAACAGCTACTCCTCCATCTGCAGATGCCAGGAAGTGGAAGAAGACGATCCCAGCCTGAAACAGAAAGAGGTGGACACATTAACAAGGCTGGATACAAAGCAACAAATGTCTGCATCCCATCTCATGTGGGATGTGAAACATTTCAGGGCCACAAAGGAGGTATGAGAGGCAAATATCTGCAGCATTATTCTGGAAAATTAAATGAATCCTTGCACTAAGGAACTGCACTGATGCAAATTGTGACTTTGCAAACGACATATTATCACCAGTGAAGGTTTCAAGGGCAGCTGAAATAACACACTGATAGCACAGCTGAAAGTGGACAGAAAGGAGCGTTGTCCAAGGTTAGATTATAAGGAAACATTATTCAATAGCCCTGCAATATGCTGCAAAGCCTTTCCCATGTTTGGGCAGTGGGTGAGATTTAGGACAATTGCCCTTTCATCATCTTCCCTGTAACTCACAGCGGTCGCCCACTGTGAGGCTTCAGAAAGGGACTTCCACACAGGATGTTTCTTAAATCTGCTTCATAACTTATGCAACAAGTGCCTGTCTTTGATATCCATTACATTTGGTTATAAGGGCAGCACACAGAGCATTTTAAGAGTGCAGGTTTATGCTATCAAATCACTGTTAAAGTGCTTAGATGAAGTATTGTGTGTGCACACTGATAGCTTGTGGAAGAACAGTATATTCCTGATATAATCTGCAATATTTAACACACTCTTTTCTGCTCTGACAGTGCAACAACACTCAGTCTGTCTGACTGCGCAGCCCCGAGTTATCCAGCTGCAACAATAACTATGAACCACAGCCATAAACAGAACAAAACATCTTGGCTGCAGGAGTGCACCGCCCAGCAGTTCACTGCTCTTTCCCAAATACTTCAGATGATGTTCCTCATCTTTGTAACGGGGAAACTATCACCAACACTCACACAAGTTGCGCAAATAACAAATATAAATGTAGACTTGTATGTTACCTCTTTAGTTTGTGTCGCAGCTCCCACTCTCGGCCACGTTTCCCTCTGTTTGCTTTAATTTCCAAACCGATCCAGTTCCCGTTATTCTCCCGTTGTCTCTCTCTGCCGGCCAACAAGTCCTGTCAACGCAGCGACTGTGTATATGGGTATTTCCGGTTAGGTATTTCAAAATAAGACGGCTACATAGGGTTAGATGTGGGCTGAGACAGCTTTGCGTTGACCTCTGTGACTAACCAAGTAAGAATTAATTATATTCTTAAGGAATATGATGTTTAAGATGTTAACAGAGTAAGGAAAAGATACTGTAAAACTTCAATTAGTAGACCGGGCTGTTATTTGCTTAAATCACTGAACTCAACAGGCCTATATTGGGACAGACCTTTAATTCCTTTCACACAAATCTGTTGGTCAGCAAAGATGGGAAATACCATTACAGTGTTTATTTGAACCAGTCTGAATATTACTTGTTTAAAAATGAGGCTTCAGATAATATATCAGTTATAAATCATTCATTTGATCTAGCTCTGACAGAAAGGAAGATTTATGGCACCCGAAGATTTTGGCATCCGGCCACTTCATCCTGTTAAACAATACTCACAGCTTGGATTAATTTTTTATGAAAAAGCCTTCTGATTCTTTTGATCTGAGGACCCTTACGGATGAAAGGAATATAAATAACTTACAGGGTAACTGAGGAAGGGAAAATGTGTAGCCACACCTGGCTAGTAAAAGGGACCAGTCTTTTATTTGAGGCTATGCTTTTAATTGAGAATTTATGGCAATTTGAGATAGCTTTGTTTTTGCCTTATTAGTGTCTATTTTATGTTTATTTTCCTTTATTTTTGTTCAATTTCTGTCATTTTATATGTCTTATATTTCTTTGCTCAGCCTGATGCAGAAGCTACCTGATGAGCAAGATTTGAAAATGTGCCTTGTTGGTTTGTATCTATAAAGTTCAAAAAATATTTAAAAAAAATCTTCCATAGGGTTGAGAAAATTACAGAACATAACTTTCTTAAACTGAATATATGATGTAATTAAACTCAAACACAGTGGTGATCCAGCATAAAACAAAGCAGTCACAGACATAGGCTTAGGAAATCTAAAATGTGTGGACTGTTATGCTCTTATTTTTTAAAGCCAAATCCCTTCACTTCCGGTCTTCTTTATGTAGTTAAGTGAGCTCGACACGGCTCTCCCACCCTTTCATCCCAGCACCCCCCATCCCCCACTCGTCCTGTCCGGATTCAATCAGCGTTGATTTAAGTCACCACAGCTGCTGTTATTGGCTGTCAATAACTGTTAAAGGCAGTAGGTGCACACTACAGTGATCAATAACGGCCAGGACAAAATCGATAACGTTTTGTTGCTGAAATATTAATCATTTTTAAAGTAGTAGCTAATTTTGAAGTCAAGTATCAAGTTCATTAAACTCTTTTAAGCAGATCAGAGACAGAGTTACACTTTAATAGAAAGGGTAACACAAATACACTGTGATTTTAGACATATTAGGCCCCTATATATTATTTATAGCATTGATGTTTATCAGCATTATCCTGGCTGTGACCGTAGCATTAACACTGATGTCATAGGGACTGTTCTTTATTTAACAGAGGAGGGGTGTGACTTCCTCTTTTTCTTTTTTTCTTTTTTTTTCTGACCCTCCCTGAAGCTACAAATATTTTTCTTGAGCTTCCCTGAGTGACTGGTGGAAAATGCATGACCTTCTCTCCACTGTATATTAGTTTTGGGACTTTTAAAACTCACCATTTGAGGTTTGAAAGTTTAAAGTTAAAAGTTGAAGATGAAATCCTGCCGTTGAAAAAAGCCTCTGCTTTTCTCTTTTGTCGTGCATGCTGGTTAGTTTATGCAAACACAAATTTTAATTGATATATGTAGACTGAAGTGATTTTGAGTACTTCAAGCTTAGATGTGATTCTGTGTTTTGTTTTGTTTTTTTACTGATGGTGTTCAGAGACCGTCGGAAATTTGAAAATCCAACTATAATTTCTATTTTTACAGGCCCTGGCCATAATAAATGGTGAAATTTTGTAAGAGAACATACCGCAACAAAAATTGGTTGTGACATAAATACAAAATACAAACATTTAAATTTGTGTGCCGCTCCCCTAAGCCAAAATAAAAAACATAAGTCTCTCCCCAGTGCCTAAAAACATATTTGACATGCACCCTTTTTGCACCACCCCCTCCACCCTAATAAGTGGTGAACAGCCCCTAAAGAGAACACAAAACATATGGCAGGGCTGTAACCACCTATCTAATACTGGGGGGTACCATTTTCTGAACCAACCCTCCAGGTGGGTCTGTGGGTGATTCCCCTGAGAGAAATTTTTTATAAACTTGACAGCTAAACTGTCTATTTTAGAGCATTTTGAAACAAAAAACGTTAGCATACGCCACCATACGAATAAGAGCCGCACATGAAAAGCGCACACATCTCATTTAAGCGAGCGTTAGATTGGACTCAAAAACGCACCAAATATTAAACTCTGGTCAACGTTACCTTGGTTGTGACCTTCTAGCACTAGCACTGGGGCCACAAATGCAGCTGGTTTCCATGACAATGTGACAGTTACCCGTTAAGCTAACGTTAGCCATTAGGTGAACATTAACAGTAGCTTTTGGGCTGATTTTAAGGACAGTAGCTGCCAATTTGGGGACTTACGTAAAACTAACTTGTTAATACTGTTGATAACTTCTTAATTACTTTTAAAAAATCCAATTTAAAGGTCACTTAGATTGATAAAGAGTAGTTTAATTTAACATTAGCTAGCTGACTTATCTGAAAATTCTAGCATACGTTAAGCATTTGGGCCCCGCTGATGAAATCCCTACTTTTGCCACATATGTAAACCTACTCTGACGCCCTCTCCGTGTACTGAGACACTGAATTAATGATGGATTGGAGTATTTCTAGGAGATTTTCTGGGATTAAGGACTCCTATTTAATATTCTCCCCTTAATCCTGATGAATTGTTTATGCAAGGTCAGACACTGTATCAGCAGATACCGCCTCTATACTTGTCTGCCTTTTAAATATAGCCTAAATTTGGACTGTCTGATATAAATCAAATACCGGTAGGTCAATATTCATCTCTCCTCTCCCGCAGTAGTCTAAATAAATGGCTGTGTTATAATCTTATCAGGTTCATGGTTGATTTATTTCACCAGGCTCCTTGTGTTCAAAGTCATCATAGATTAAGGCCTATTATGCCGTACTCACTCAGCCATCATTGTCTGCTTTTTGTCTGGGTGACATAACAAAAAATAATAATCTGCCTCTTCCTGAAATGTGGGTCAAATGATGTTGGACACTGCTGATGTTGTTGTATAAACACCAGACACTACAGGAAACGCTTTGTGACCTGTGAAACCAGCAGTATTGTGAATTGTGTCCGGTAATCAAACTTTTTTTTTGTTAAAATTTGGCAACTGATATTTGGAGGTTTGCACAGCAGTGATTTAAACATGCATAAACAAGGTTTTGACGTGTAAAGCAGCACTATATTCCCTTCTACTGACTAGACTGAGCTACTGCAGCCAGGCATCAGCAACAGAGTCAGAGATACAGAGGCAACTCAGTGACAAATAAGACAAAGAAGAAAGATGAAGTGTATTTCTGTACACAGAGAAAAAGAAAAGAGGCAGGAAATGTGAGGTTGATGTAATAGTGGAGGGAAATGTGGACGGATGAGGGGGATGGAGGATGGGAGGTAGAGGGCACAGACAGGATTAAAGAACACCATCTGTCCACTGAGATCCTTCAGCCAGCACACAAAACATCCCAGTCAAATATAGCGTCAGCTGGTTTACCACACTGTCTGTAAAACAGGCTCTTCCACTCCCCTGCAATTAAAAATCTGTAAAACCTCTGTCCTCAGCGCCTCATCTATTCTAATACATCTGGCACGAATATTCTTAGGCAGCACCTAACACTGTGTGCTGAAGTCACCCAGTGAGAAACGGAGGCAAAAACAGAATCCCTAATCTGCATTTTAATCTCACTGTCAGTTTAAGTTTTTGTAGGCCTCTTGAACATTTATTTTCATAAAACAATTTCAATACAAAATGTAAAAACAATGCACATGTGAAGCTACAAACAGGCAACACTTCTTAGCTCATGCAAAGCTTAAATATGGAAATAATGTGCTTTCCTCCAACAGTATTGAACCAATTTAAGGTTTTATTTTGCAGGATATTTGCAAATTCCTTTAGGAAGTAAAGTCAAAAGCACATGTGCGAATTAAAGGACAGATGTGCACACTTGCTTTATCAACAAACACGCTTCAGAGAGCTTGACAAGTAGATGCTTCATGCTGATGCTAATGTTTTGTCACAGCCCATTGATCATTTTGGCATACAACATATTATCCAGATTAACAAAACTAACCTTTAGCACAAGGAAATTAATTAAAATGCTTTGTAAATACAATTTGTATGAACCTAGCAGGCGCCGGTGAATATTTTAAGTTTTTTTTTTTTTCAGTTTTTTTGGCCGTGTGCTGTGTATTTAATCAACTGGTAAACAGCTTATTCAGTCTGATCCCGCTTGGCTCGCTCCATCACAAGACTGTTGTCAGCAGACCGTCCTGCACGCTGCCCTCATGTCTCCCATTACGCCCTGCAGGATAATTCAGTTAAAGTGCCTCGCTCTCCGGCTCACTGAGTCTCTGTCTCTGACATGCTGACTTTCTCGCTCTGTGTGTTTCTTTCTCCATCTTAGACGCTGACTCTTTCTCCACTCTGCTGACTTTAGTGCTGTTTGTGTTTTCTGACTTGTTAGCAGCTTCCTAGCTGCTGCCTCACACAAATACACACAACACTACATCTATTGTCTTATTTTAACTCTAGTAAAGATAGTATTTATTGCAAGATCACCAAGACTGTAGACAGAATTGTATAAATACTGAGGACATGAGGACAAACTTCCCTCAGCACCAACCAAATATGAATTTATGTATAAAAAAAATAACAAAATGTCACATTTGATCTGTTCATAATGGTACAATTTCATCTCTCTACATTATGTTTAAAACAGTGTTTTGGGTCCAGGTTCATTCTGGGTGATTACTTTTGTCTTTGTAACAAAGTATAAAGCTGCCAGAAACCCAAAATACAAGAAAATGACAGAGCACCAAGAGAAATAATTACAAAAAAGCTAATGCTAATCTAAAAAAATATGATTTAACAGTTCAAGGTTGTAAAAATAGTTCAAGTAGTACATCAGAAAAACATAAGAAATAAAATTATAATACAGTTTACATGTGAAGTGATTTTACAAGATGACTTGTTTTGGGCCTTTTTCATTAAAAATCCACACATCTGTAAATAACTAAACAAAAACAGAGAACTAAAGACTTAAGACTATAGTTTAGACCTGCTCTAAATGAAAAGTATCCCAAGATAACTTTTGTCATGACTTGGAGCTACATAACTATGAATTGACTTGAAATTGACTGAACTGAAAATGAAAATATGAATTTTTATTAAGTTGTTTTTCAGCTTATCTGTGTATGACACATAAACAAAGTTATGTTACTGTAAATAAAACATGCTCAGTACCTATTACTAATTCTAATACCGATTGCTCATTTAATACTTTTTTTTGTCTCGCTCTTTCTTTTTTTTGTCTAGAAACAGTTACTTTCACAGATAGTCTTTCTGTTAACAGTCTGCATAAAGTTATTTAGTCAAACAAATATCACGATTAGTCTTATGTATAACAAAATGCCCAGAAATATCACAGATAACTGTTATGACTTCGTTGTTTTTGCTTGACCTCCTTTACACAGGGTATCCACAGGTAATTACAAATTTTTCAATATAATTTATAATTTAATAAAATTTAAGACTGCCTTTTTTTTGGAGAAAAAATATTTTCCTTATTCAAGCACTGCAGGTACATATAAAGTTAAGCAGTATGTGGGCCTGTGCAGAGGTAGGTTTTACGTAGGAATATGATTCTTAGAGTGAGTTAGGTTAATCTACATTACACCGACAAGTAAGTGTTAGTATTCAGTAAAAAGACAGTATGAGGGTCAGTGGTAGGTTTACAGATTTGTAACACTACCAATGCGGACTTTCACACAAGAGAGCTTGACTCATTTTGACTCAATGAAATTTTTTTTTGAGGCCTAATATTTCAAGTCTTTTTTTTTTAAGACATTTTTTTGGGCATTTTTGCCTTTAATTCGACAGGACAGGTAAGCGTGAGTGGGGAGAGAGAGAGGGGGATGACATACAGCAGAGGGCCACAAGCTGGATTTGAACCCAGGCCGCTGCGGCAACAGCCTTGTGCATGGGGTGCCTGCTCTACCTACTAAGCCTCTGACGCCCCGTATTTCAAGTCTTTTAAGGACGTACAGACACCATAGCCTGGTAGGACCAGCATGATGTTGTGTTTCGCTCTCTGTTTCAGACGATCAGAGGGCCCCGATTAGATTTTAATTGCTGGAAAGTATTTGGGGCGGCATCGAGTCCAGACTGATACAGAGAGCGAAACAGAATGTTGAGCTCACGTCATCAGGATGGTCTTACCAGGATACAGAGACCGTGCTTTAAGTGAGGTCAGAGGTCATACCATACAGCTCTACTACACATAAACACTTCCTTTTCTCTCTACATGTCTCTCACTTCCTCTTAATAGTACCAGTGTCCTGGGTGTCTGTTCTTTTAATTAATCACTGAGGTTAAGATGCTTTTGTTGTGAAACTCCATATGATATAAAAATGAATGAACATGAACCAAACACAAAACTTAAATCTCAATCTTAGGCTGTCTGTCAGCTGATTATAATTACCACTCCAAATCAAATTAGACGTTTTAGGGAGGAGACACTGAGTGCCCAAGTAATGTGGGATTCAAGACAAGACAGACAAGACAAGAAGAAGAGTGATATATGGAGGGACAAACTCGAGGGTGACCTAAGGACGCTGACAATTCAAACTACATTTGAGGAGGTGCATCTTTGCGACTTCAAAGACGAAGACAAATTTAATTTAGGAATGACACTGTGGGACGTAACGGATCAGCAGTTAGTTTGATAAGAGAGCCGTAACGTCCCACGAGAGGATTATTTGGACGTGCCTGAATAGTTAACCAAAACAATTTTAGGACTTCTTACTGGCAGCATCATGTCTCCTTCACAACTTGGGATTGTCCTCCTGTGTTGTCTACCTTTGGCAGGTATGTAGTTCAGTTTATTTGACGAGTTAAATTATTACGTTTAAAACACAGTTTAAGTTATTGTAAAAGTGTCGTGCAACCACGACCGTCTAACTAAAGGCACTAAAGGCAAAACAGCTAAAAAAAAAACACCTTAAAAATGCTACTATTTAAAAAACTAAAGATTTTAAAAGGTTATTTGGTCCAATACAGAAACTTTGGAATAACTCTTTCTTGATATTGTAAGACTGGGCATATTAACAACTTGTTTAGTGTGACACCAGGTATTTTTAAAAATATTTTGTTTAACATTTATAAGGACTTACTCTCGCTTATCGCACTTTTTTTTTCCCATTTTGCAGAATATCTTATCTGACTGATAAATCAGCCAGCTGATATATCAGACAATATCAGCATGTCAACAACAAACTGATGTTGGAGTGTATAAAAACAGTGGTTCTATTACATAATTTGGCCCCAGACAGTACTGACAAGTTTATTTTAAACTGTAATTAACTGTAGAATGTCTTGCTCATTGGTCAAAATTCTTATATATCTGAATTTAAGGATCTCTATCAAAACTGTTTATGTTATCTGTTATTGATTGATGTATCATTATCAGATTTTTATAACTCAAATGTCAGTATTCCGTCGGGCTCACAGTAAATTTCTCAATGTGTTTGTCCATTGTTTCCTTCAGCATGTTTGCGCTGTTACACCTGTTTGTTTCCAGCCATCTCTCCTATGGACTGCTTTAAGTTTCCTCAGGAGTGTCCAGCTGGTCAGCGCTGCCTGTCCAGTACTGCAACAGGGAGACGGGGTGAGATCCAGATCTGTGTGTGCGCTTGTGTGTTTATTTCTTTGTCTGTAGATGAGATTAGTTTCTGAGAATCTAGGGCAGGATGGTCACAAATTGTCAGACAAAGCCTCATTGTACAAACTCTGTCTGTGATCAGATTTGAGAAAAGTGCAGTCTGTTTGAGACAGTTCTGTTTTGGCTTTGTGATCCAGCCCACTGGATTTAAACAGAAGCAGCGGCTATTAAGTTACAGTGCTGACTATAATCTTTAATCTAAAGTTACAATCTTGAATCTCTGTTTGGCGGCACCTATAAAAATAAGCGGTAACTGCAGGTGTGTATTTAGATCTCACTTCCCAGAGATCCAAACCAGCATCTTCTGATATCAGTCAGCACTGTCTAATCTCAATATTAGCCATACCTCCCAACTTTGAGAAGTACAAAATTGGGAGGACTTTGAAGTTCAAAGTCGAGGCCAAAGGTGTGGAGCCATGTTAGGGTCCTTCCCCCCAAAAACTTGAGTTTCAGAGACTGTTTCCTGCATTTTGGTGACTTTTAAAGAACGAAAATAACAAAATAACAAGTACACTGCATCTGGTTTAGTTTTTAGTGCAAAAAGGAGGAGGCAGGCCAGGAATATACTTGGCCCGTGCCAGGGACCCACAGCCAGCTGTCCTCCCTGGCCCACACACCCCTGGTTACTTGATGCCTAAGCAATGTGGAACAGGAGGCTCATGGTCTCTGGCAAACAGCTGGGTACCCCGCCATGGTGGAGGAAGGCAAGCTGGGTCTCCCTGAACCCCTGAGGCAACCCTCAAACCCCCGCTAGAGTGTCAGTCTCAGCACAGAGCCAAAGTGTCCTTCTGCAGCCTTGCGCAAATCATGCAGGTCCAACAGGTGTCCCTCTCTGACCCTATAGAGGGTTGGAGAAGTAGAGAGAGAGGCGGTGCCAACGAGGAGGAAACAGTACAATTTTAGAGTCATAAGGCTTACACATGCTGTACAGTTCAACATTAAGGTTGTGAAAAGAAAAAAGGTGTGAAAATGTGTCATAAACTGGGAGAAATACGGGATAATTGTGACGCTGAGAGGAAACTGGGAGAGGGCAGTGAAAAAACAGGAGGCTTGGCAAGTACAATGTTAGCAGAGACCGGAAAATACAGTACACAGCTTCACATACAAATGAGCTGAAGAGCGAGTCTGTTGCGTCAGCTCCACTGCCGGGTGACAAAAAACACGTGACTAAATGTGTGCCACTTGTGTTTTTTTCTGGGAATGTCGTCACTGACAGATAGATAGTGACTTAACCGACATTTATTATTTAAATGAAAGTCTTTGAGATTATTACTTTAAAGGAGCAGTGTGCAAAATTTAGGCTGATTTAGTGGCATCTAGTGGCGAGGAATGCAGATTGCAACCAGCTGAAACTTCTCCCAGTTAGAATTCCTTCAGTGTTCATTGTTCAGGAGGTTTGAATTATCTGTAGAGGTCTCTTCCTCTCTGAAATAAATGGACCAGGTGATTAAAACCAGTAAAAACACTATAAAGCAGTTTAACATAAAAAAAAAATAAAAAAAAAATTAGTGTTTCTCCAACTCTGTTCAGCATAGCGTAGAAAGGCAGCTAGCCCCGCACCTACTAATATATGCTCACCTCTCTGATAACTTAAGATCCAGATGTTAAGGAAGTTTTTACCAGGTGCTGAATTACCCACAGAGGTCTCTTCCTCTCTGAAACAAACAGACATGGTGATTTAAACAGGTAGAAACACTGAAAAAAAAACTTTCATGTTAAAAAAATCTGCATTTTTCCCAAGCTGCTTGTCGCCAAGGGACTTATAACTATTGTGGCTGATGCATAAATGCAAAATGGCCTTATGTAGAGCCAGTGTTTGGTTTGTCTACTGTAGAAACAGAGCAGTGCAACATGGCAATCTCCATAAATGAGGACCTGCTCCATATCTAGATATAAACAGCTCATTCTAAGGTAAAGATATCACAACGATTCTTATTTCAGAAAAAAACATACTCATTATATTATATTCCATTTCTGCCAATATATCCCCCTAAATCCTACACACTGTAGTCTTTTTTGTAACTACAATTCCTACACACCTATGGGAGGCCAAATGCTCTTAAAGCTGCATTAAATCTCATATTCACTGTTTTATTTTGAATCCTGTGTACAGAGCAACTTCTGAGAGGCAGATTTGTTGCTGGAAAAAAAACAGAAAACTCTCCAATATAGAACAAAGACTAATGTAAGAATAACTGGTTTAAGGTAGTTATTCAGATAACGTAGTAAACCGTCTTCTTTTAGGGCCAAAACCATTAAAAACATGTCACTGTCAAAATATTTACAGACTTATCTCTGTGTGTTGCTGCCATGGATACTGGAAAATTGCAATTAGTTTAAGGACCTTTTCTCAGGCCTGATCCTATCTCAACTCCACAAGTGTAAAAACAAAACGAGACAAAGAGTGACTCAGTGAATCAGATCTCAGCACCATTTCTCATCGGGCTGGTTGTCAGCTCACTAATGCCTGTGATGCCAACAAATTATATCTAAAAATAGCTCTCCAGGCTCTGTGGGTGGAGCAATACATTCACTGTGTCTCATCAGAGGCTAAAGTCCCCTTTTTAAACATGCACCTTTAACCCATAAATGCTCAGACAGATTTAAATTTCAGTGTTATGTAGGGAAAAGATCCGACGTTACCCAACCTTTGGGGTAGGATATGGTAAAGGACTGAGATAAAAAGCAGCCAAAACACACTCACTTTTTTTTTAAGGTTATTTTGTCATCAGCATCAATATCGTAACATACTGAGAGTGGGTCTTCAGTGAGAGGAGAATCAAACAGTAGGACCTTTTATGCCAAATGGAAAATTCATGGAAGGAAAAAAGATTTGAATCATAAAAACAACTACTGTAAATACCTTATTTAAATTAAATCACTACTGGTGTTAAAATTGAAATAACACCAAAATAAATAACAAAAAAAAAAACATTAAAGTTTCAAATACTCCAATAAATATATTCCAATGCTCACATAATAAAAAAAACTATTTGAATTCAATCACTTATAGAATGGACTGACGATATGCAGACACAAATATTCAGGGTAGAAAATGAAATCAGTCGGTCATATAAAGGGTGACTGAAAACTGTAGACAGCTGAGTTTTATATACTAATTCTTAAATTTTATAGTATAGTTGGTATTTAGTAAGTAATTTATCAAGTATATTTTGTAAATTTGGGAAATTTTAAAACTTAAAATTGCCCTCCAGAAAATACTGTGAATTCTGTGGTATTTTCATTTGTGGTTACATGGGTGGTGGTTAAATTTCAAAAATTAAGTACTTATCTGATTATAAGACATTTGTAATTTTATTATAACTAGTCTGCTTTTGCAGTAACAAAGCTGTGAACTGCTTTTCCAGAGGGGGAAAAAAATCATACATTTAGGCCAGTTCAGTAGGTATTCAGCTGCTTTCAAAATTCTAATCATCATGGCCTCTCTCTGAGCCTCCATAGCTTTGTTTGATCAGTGTACCAGAATAAACTCGTTTACTTTCTCTCTCAGGCGCTCTACAAGTGACGATGTACGAGAAGAGCTGTGCAGTACCGTCCCAGTGTGGTGTGAGTGGACAGAAATACGCCTCAGGGCTCTACTTCAATTACACCAACATCTGCTGTGACACAGACCTGTGTAACGGGGCCGGGTCCTTTGCTGCCCTCAGCTGGGGAGGAGCAGCTCTCTGCCTGCTGCCTGCGCTGTCTCTGCTGCTAGCCTGAACAGCAGAGGTGGTGGGGGGGCAGAGGTTTGGATGGGTTCCAGAGGTTAAAATCAGATTTTTTTCTACCCATAGTATCTACGTATCTCCTTAAAAGTAACAAAAATAAATCAATGACTAAACATAAAAATAAATAGTTGACAGCTGTGTGACGTGATGTACAAAAACAATCTGTAAATACTAAAATACACTGTCAGTAAAATAAGAAACCAGTACCAAAATATACAATATTGACAAAAATTCTCACCTCAAGGTCCACTGAGTGGCTGTTCTGGAGCTTTCAATCATGTATCTACTCAGTTTTGTTTCAATCACATTTAAAAAGACTTCTGGGCCCTTTGATGACTTCTGTTACATTAAAAAGTTGGTTTATAGTTCATTCTTGACTTTGGAAACAGCAACTCACAAAACAATCTCACCTTGAGGTCCTTTTAGTTGCTGCCCTAGAGCTTTTGATCATAAAGCATGATCTTCTTCAACAAATTGATACCTGTTGAAGACTGGTCAGCAAAGTTATTACAGGTTAACTAAGACTAAAGTAAAAACTACAACTAGATGTTAAAAACATTTTATCGAACTGAAATACAAATAAAACTAGACTCAAAAAAAAAATTATATTGAACTTATATTGAAACTATTTCCAACAACAAAATATAAACTGAAACAAGAAAACTCACTCTGGAAACTAAAAATACAAAACTATAATAACACTGCTTCTCTGCCCATGTTGTTTTGAAAGTTTAAGTTCAAGTGGTAATTTCTGATACAATTAGGAAACAGAAGATTTACAGGTGAAGATCATATATGACAGAAAGCTCCAGAACAGCTACGAAATTGAAGTGACACCAGTTTGTCAACTTCTGTCTCCAAAATCAGTAATGAACTTTGAATTTTTACACCAACATGGACAAGAAGTCCTTAAAAACCAGATATACAGTATAAACACCCGCATCTGAATGTTGAATGAGTGAAAGCTCCAGAAGAGATACTAAATGGACCTTGAGTTGTGAATGTTTTGTTAACAGCTTTGAAACCAGAATACATCGTTTTGTTTTAGCTATGTATTAGTGTATCTGGGAATGACATTATGACAACCCAGTGATGAAACTAATAAACTTTAATACACTATGCCTTTTTTCTGCACTAACGTGTATTTGCTGTGAATGTAAATGTATTATTTTTTAATCACAATTCTGCTTTCAATCATCAAACAAAACATTTTGTTGTTTGCATGTTTTTGTACACCTTCCTCTTCACCATCTCCACATTGTTAATGTTCATAATAATAAAAAATAAAGTCAATAAAAACACATCTGTCAATGACTGATTTATTATCAAGATATTCTTTTATTGGCATATTAATAAATGTGTCTTTGTAGGGGCTTTTAAGTACAAAATACATTTCAGTTGTGCCATTAGTTTGATTGTCTTCATTGTTTCTTATTTAAATCTACTGGTTTAGTGTCCACACCGCTGTTTGTTCTGATCCTGTGGACTCTTAAGTGCAACTACTTTTGACTAGAAGTGTATAGGAATGCACAGGGGTAGAAAACAAAGTCAAAAGCACAATATGGGGCATGAGAAAGAAAATACATGATCAAAAAAATAAAAACAGTGACGTGAAAATCAAACTAATCAAAGTTACATTTTTAATTAATATATCAAGTTAAATGGTCCCTGAAATCAAATCCGACAGTAAGAGGTGAAAACACACGAAATACTAAAATACATGAGCGCTGAAATTATTCAGACACGATCCCTTTAAACGCTGGTCCATTTTTAGAAACAATTCAGTCAATATAAAACATACAGTATCATCTCTGTGATCAACACCTCATGGAAGGATTTAACTTGTGTGATTGAAATCATGTAGAAAAACTGTGCTCACACTGGACGAACGAGATTGTCTTTTCAATCGGCTTAAATTGCACTTAGTTTTTTTTTTCCTTGTAAGAGCTTCACCCTGATCTGAGAGACATGACACACACTCTCAACAAACCTACTGTAAAAACAAAGTCTTAATTACAAACAGCCTTAATAAATCACAAATTTGCACAGTTGCAGTCAAGTTAATAAAGCCGTCTACACAAGCCGCAGCTACAGTTGGACAAGGCGTGTTGTTAATAGTTCCAGTTCTCCCCAGCGGTTCAATTTCAAGTCACTTTTACAGGAATTATATCAGACTAACAAACTTAACAAGAGTGAATTGATTCTTCTGGCGACACGTGGCAGTAAGGTGACGGCCTGCAATCACTCAGTATACAAGGTTTTTAATTTAAGGATAAATCTGGTGATGTTAAACATTTTTAAATTGTCAATAAATCCCATGAAAAGACTAAAACTAAAACACCATCCTTCTGCTGTATTGAAGAGCCAGTAACAGCAGATGTGTATTAATCCGTGTCTGAAAATAGTCCCAAACAAATGCACTATTTACTCCAGTTTGAGTGATTTTTGCAAAAAAACTACAGTTCCCTACAGTGTTGGGAAACTACTTTGCATTTTTTAAAGAATAAAATTATATATTTGTGACCCATTTTTAAAGATTTACATCTTCAGCAGGACTGAATGGATTTGATGCTGAGGATAAGAAATTTCGAACCATACTCTCCAACCGTCCCATTTTATCCAGGAGACTATTTTCTCTGCCGGTTTTTCTCCCAAGGTCAAAATTCTCCCAGATGTCTCCCAATTTCTGATTTTTTTTTTACACCTTTTTGTCTCTCTCTCTCTTTTTTTTTTTTTTAAATTATTACAGCCGGTTCCCTCCCCATTGACACTTGATAGTCGGCCATGGGGCCGTCATGAGTCAGGCACAGTTGCTGATGGACATCTTGTCTCCTTGCTGACTGCATTACATACACCTAAGTCAGATGGGGTGCTCTACCAGGGGTTTGAGAGTTGGCCCATGGGTTGGGGGCACCCGGCTTACCCTGCCCTGCTGCGGTGGGTTAACCAGCTGTCTTCCAGAGACCATAAGCCGTATTCAACCTTGCTTAGGCATTGCTCTCTCCCTGTTTCTTCCCAGGGCAACAATTCTGCCCTGTTTCTCCCAATTTATGACAAACTTTCACACCTTTTGTTTCTTTTCTGGCACTGGCACTGTACAGTGTGTACAAGCCCTGTGACTCTGACAGTTTACTGTTTCCTCCCCACTGGTGCTTCCCTGTCTCTCCCTCTTTCACCCAGGGCTAGAGAGGGCATGCATAAATCTAAAGAGATGTTCTAGCAGGAGGTTTGAGGGGTGCCTCGGGGGTTGGTATTTTCATGGGATTTGTTGACAAATAGATAAACATTGAATATTGCAAGCCTTATCCTTTAATTAATAATGGACGGCAATCTAAAGCTGCAAGTGCGATTTTCTTTTTAAAGATTCTGCATGTTTACATTAACTTCCCCATGTGACAGAACAGGCCTTGTGCCCCGAGCTACCAGAAGTTGCAGGACAAGTGCTTCCAGTGCAGCACTTTAGCAGTTACATCTTCATCCACAGTATCAATACAATCTGTCATTTGACACTAAAAAGGATCCTTCATACATGACAGGCAAAACAAAATAAAAGCTTGGCAAAAGGCCCCGACAGCGGATCACAAACAAGCTCAGTAATCTTGAATAATCCTTTGCGCCTGCTGTGGGAGCGCAGAAAGGGGAAGCCCGAGTCTATTGAAACAGTTTCCTGTCAGTGTAACTGTTTTCAGCTCTGCCTCCTTATAGCGAGACCCGGTCTGCAGGCCCTGAGGAAAAGCACCCCACTTCCTCTCTGAGGCGTAGAATAAGAAACTGTTTATAAAAAAATATTTGCACTCCTAAACTGTCAAAGGCCTTGCTCCCTCAGTAACAAAATATTAAAGTCAATGTGAAGCATCTGTAACTACAAACCGCAAAAGACACTTTGGCAGGTGAGCTGGCGCTGGTATGCGTGTTTGTCACCTATAAAAAACCCACTTCATTAATACCAAGACTGAATATAAGAATTTTATCAGCTTGTGTGAGGCTTGCAAGGTATTAGTCAAAGTTTGATCTGGTTGGCAGCTTTGAATCTGTTAAATTCTCCATAAAAACATACAAAGATATACTGTAGAAAACATAATCGAGAAGGGAACAAAAAACAACTTTACAGTGTGCATCTACTGATGGTGAAACTGTACACAAGCAAGGCTGTAGTTTTAAGTGTGTGAACATGTACAGTGTGTGTGTGTGTGTGTGTGTGTGTGTGTGTGTGTGAGTCTGCGAGTAACATGATCAATCATTTCTACAGAGGCAAACATCCGGGAAAAATAAATTTAGCCATGGCTGACTTTTTTTGGTGTGTGTGCGGGGCTTCCCACACATTCATTTATTTGTGGTGGGCCGTCACGATTGAAATATCTGCCACCATGTTCTGATTTTCTATTTTTGGAGCTGGACCGTTCATTAGGAGCACTTTAGGAATATATATATAGCTTTCATCCATCGATCTGATCAAATGACAACTGATCAGAAAGTTGCAAAAAATGACCATATAGATGCAATTAAATCCTCTTAAAAACAGATCGATCGAGTTGCTTGCAGAGTGTATGTGCGGGTGAGTAAATGTGTGTTTTCATGACTTGTGCATCCTGCTGTGCTCCTACTTGAGAGCTTTAGCTACAGAGGAGTAGGCGATGTGGATCTCGCTGTCGATTGGGCAGGTGGAGGAAAACTCCTCCCTTGCGTACGCTGCGTTCAGGTACCTCCAGAGGTTTGTCAGAGACTGAGGGATGCTGAAGTTTCGGTATTTTAAACACACCACCTGCAGAGAGGGAAAGAGAAAGACACGATCAAAAAAACCCACGCTGGACTCAAGTCTTCAGTGTCAGACCAAAAACATTATAATCTATTCATTCCCCCCCCATGCAGCACAGATTAAAGCAGGAGATTACCTTCACGATGTGGAGCTTAGGCAGCAAGTTACAGTCAGCCAGAGTAAGCTCCTGGCCGTCTAGGAAGGGGCGGGACGAGGAAGTGACATCATCGGCGCTATTCTCGTCGATCTCATCAGGAAGTGGAGAGCCGAGGTAGTCGTCCAGCTTCTTCAGAGCCTTCAGCAGGCCTTTCTCTAGATCTGGGCACGAGCAGAAAACACTCAAATACAGTGTATGATCAAAGCTGAAGAGATGTTGAGAGAGTTTGTTTTTCTAAAAAGGAAAGCTGATTTCAGACTGATGCAATTATATTTTTCATTTCTTTAAATGGCTGAAATGAGTGAGTGAAATTATTTTTTCAAAATAAGTGAGTAGGTAGAATAAGCACACAGTTTTCACACAACAACAGTGACATTTCCAGTAATATCACCCAACACAGATTGGCTAAACACAGAGAGCAGCAGGTGACCTGTTTGCACTGAGGAAAAAAAAGCTCAGACCATAATGTTATTAGCTCACATGCTCCCTGCTGGTTTTCTATCCATCAGATAAAGACAGAAGGAGTTCACCACCAAATCTGGATGAAGTTTTTTCTGTTGTAAAAACTCACATTATACTTCTGATTTTGAAGTATCAGATCTACTTACTTTCATTGGTCTGAGGGTTTGAATTCTTGACGTAGGCGGAGAATTTAGAGAAAACATCCATGCCAGCTGTGTTGGACTCTGGGTTACGAGCGGCCAGACGGGGATACCTAAACACACAGGGAGATCGATGATGACATTACAAACAAAAAACAATCACATGAATGAATGCATTAAATGTTAAAAGCTTGGACCAAGAAGATTCAAACAGAATCACTCAAAAAGGACAATAAGTCAAGACAGTAGGCAAACAAAACAACTGGGGCTACAACCAATGAATATTTTAGCTCAATCCATTCATTGACTACGTTTACATGCATCCTAATATTCCACTATTATTCTGAATATGACACAGGTCACGTTAACAACATATTCTCTTTGGATATTTCGAATTTGGTCTTCTTCCAAATTTAGCATGTTCAGATTAAGACATGTGGGACATGCTGGTATTATTCAGGTTTAAGGACCATTCTCTGGACATGTATACAGCGCACTCAGAATATGTGCCTGGATTGGAGCTTTACCACAGTTTGTGTTTACGGTCTGCTCTGTGTGTTGTCATGGATACACAAACCAACTCGCCAATAGTTTGTAAGGCTGTGGGGTGGAGATGTACGCTAAAAAGTAAAGCCCACATTTCTGGTTGGGAAGACAAACATACCTACTTTTTAATGTTATAAAGGACTTGAATATCAACAGTGTTTTTGATGTGCGCTAATATCGCAACACCGACCTTTTCAAGAAGGTGAGTGATGTAGTGAAAGAGGAGGGCTGAGTTAGTTTAATTGAACAAGTCAGCCTGTTTTGAGGCAAAGAAGTAAAATGGCATAAGCTGCCCCAGTCATTCCACTTGTCCATATTTTGAACGTGATAGATGACGTTAGGTCACGTTAATTGGGGTATTCACAGCTGCACATGAGCACCAGTATTAGAAGAATATTTAATTTCATTAGACATGTAAACAGCTTAGTGGGAATATCGTCTTTTTTGGACTGAGGGCAAAAACCAGAATGTTTAAATTTCTTAAAGCGCAAGAAGACATCGTCACATTTGAAAAATAAAATGGATTTGTAAAACAGATGTACGGTTTGATTACTTCGGAGGGCAGAGATTTTCCTCCAGGAACTCCTCAATCTTGTTGGTGTCCGTTTTCACCTCGCTGCCGTACAACAGGAAGGGAGGCTGGGCACCCGGGGCCAGATCCTTCAAAATGTCTGGCTTCCTAAGAGGAGGATGGAAATAGAGTCAGACATCCAGCAGAAGAGACAGAGGGTTAAACAGCAGCGGAGAGAGATGGAAAAAAACAGGAGAAAGGAAAACATATGAAACCACAGGAAGTTACTCATGTTTCAAGACTTCACAGCTTCGACTAAAATCATAGCTAGGGTAGCTTTAAATCTTTTAACACTCAATATCTGAATGAAATGCCCCCTCATTTCCTCTGGGAGCATTAAAGCAGAATGCGTAACCTCCTCTGTTGTGCCAATAGAAACCTGCAGCACACACACACATGTGTAAGTACAGTGTTCACCTCTTCATGTCCACTGTGGTGACGTCGAAGGTGACTCCTTTCAGCCACAGCACCATGAAGAGACGCTGGGAGAATGGACAGTTGCCGATGCTCTGGCCATCGCTCCCTGCCTGGGACACACAAACAGGGAAAATATTAACTGTTTTTATATTATTTCATGTTTTGTTTTTTTTATTTATCTTATGTAATACTATTGGGTCGAGGCACCTACAGACAATGGCTGTTACTTTGCAGTTTTTACAGCTGAATTTCCTTTCCTTTTTGTGACAAACAAATAAATAAGAAGATAGAAGATATAAAACAAAACTGTGCACCACAAGTTTTCACTCTTTAACCAAGCTGCAAGGTCAGCCCTCGAAAGTGTCACCACACATCCTCCATCAACTTCTTACACATTAAAAATCTCATGCGAGCCGTGATTTTGTTTACAGACAAAAGTGAGGTAGGGAAAGCAACATAGAAAATTTAAAAAAAATCAACTGAGTTATAGAGAGAGAACAAAAACTTAGTTATCAGGATGTTTGTATTTGCTGAATTTAAAACAAAGCATTGACAAAAACAACTTGAGCTGACCATATAATTGATAAAATAAACATCAGAAAATTCACTGGCAATATTTTAATTATCGATTAATTGCTTGAAGATTTTTTCAAGCAAGGATGAAAAAAGTGCTCTGGCCCCAATGTGAATATGTCTTGCTTTTCTTTGTCTCATATGATAGCAGGGCTGCTACTCACAATAACCGAACAATCTTACAAATATTCTTTCCATTTATCGATTTATTGTTTGATTAATAAATGTCAGAAAATAGTAAAATAAAATAAAAAATAAAATAAAATAAAATAAATTAAATTACAGTTTCCTAGAGCCCAACATGTAGTCTCTCAATTTGTCTGAGCAACAGTCTAAAACACAAATATTGTCAGTTACTATCATATAAGATAAAGAAAAGTAAAAAAACGTGTGACTGCAACACTGGATCGATGTAATGTTTGTAACTTTTAGTTGAAAAATGACTTCAATGGTTAATTGATTGTCAAAATAGTTGCCGGATAATTTTCTGACTATCAACCAACTCATCAACTGACTAATCTTTTCAGCTAAAAGTAAGAGCAAAATTAAATATCTTACATTTAGTAGACCAAATGATTACAGCTGAAACATTCAGGCAATAGACAGATTAGTCTGGAACTACTTTAATAACCTTTAATGCACCAGAAATCTGGAAAAATACCAAGAAAACTGCAGGTCAGCTGCAGCTCTGAGTTCTTTTAAATCAAGACTGAGGACTTTTCTTCCTGATGCTACTGTTTATTAAATCAAATAATGATTCACTCCTCACACTGTACTGTACTGTAACTTTTATTCATGTGTATTTTTACCTCTCTACTTCTATTTTAGCTTGTGCTTATTTTATATTCTCTGTCTCTTTAATACCTTTTAGAATGTATTTTTTTTGGCACTTTGTCTCAATGTTTTTGTTGTTTTATGACGAGCACGCTGAATTGCCTTGCTGAAATGTGCTTTATGAATACACTTTGATTAGTCTTATTAATTGATTAATCACTTTTCAAGCAAGCATGCGCTGGTTCCAGCTTGTCAAACATGCAGAACTGCTGCTTTTCTTTGTTTTATACCATTAGGAACTGAGTATCTTTGGTTTTGGATTGCTGGTTTTAAGAAAATTAAGCAATATAAAAACATCACACTGGGCATTTTTCAATGTTTTCTGACTATTTCATGGACCAAAGATTAATACATTAAAGGAGAAAGTAGAAAGTAGACTGACGATGAAAATAATGAACTGCTGCTCCCTTAGATAAGGTAAGATAAGATATTATTAGTCCCACATCGCAGCTCAAAAGTCAGAAGCAAGAGAAAACAGAAAAAAAGTGATTTGAGTGCTAAAATAGATAAAATAAGAAAAAAATAGAATAGATTAAATAAAAATAAAATATAAAATCTAAACTGTGTTTTTAATTTTAGAAGCAACATTATTCATTCTTGTATTCACGCAGAGCTTGTCGGTTGCTCAGGAAATGATCATACGGCTTTAAAATGCTCCTTGTGTGGCTGCAGGAAGCCATATTTCATGTTCAGCCATTCTATATTCCATTAAGAGTTTGTGCTGTGGCCTGAGCAGCAAACAGTATTCACTTGCTATAGCAAAAACAGGAAACCGCTTACTTTCTAGTACCAATGCAAAAGTACACCTACATATTCTGTTAATATCAAGTGTCAGTGAGGAGGCTGAATTGAAACCAGCATTTAGAGAAGTTACAACAGCATCTTTCACCCCTGAAGGAAAAAAAGCAGAGGGTGGTGCACATGTTCACATGTTCATACAGAGGAATCATTATTTGAACTTGTGTGAGACCATGAGGGGAGGCCACATTTGTAGTACTGGAGCATGTTTTTGGGCTCAAAGGAAATGGGATTAACCTGCCTGCCATACTAAATATAGATTGAAGTCGGCTGCCCATTCAGTTAACGTGCATTTAATAAGATTAGCCTTACTGTCATGTATAAGCCCGGGTGAGTCAGCAGCTAGGTGGTCTATCTGACATGAATATTACAGCACTGTAATGTGATCTAACGCACAAGGTGACTTTATATCCCTCAAATACGGGCGGTGAAAGATATGTTATCAGCTTTTAATAACAATACAGCGAGAATGCTGATGAGACGATAAGATAAGACACTTAAAACACTCCGTATCTGCAGCTTTAAATAAATTAATGTCACATAACGTCGCCGTGTCGACACTCCCTGGGTTTTTTGGGGTCACCATTCAGTCTCTTACCTTCACGAAAAGTTCAACTTTGGGCTGATTCGCGTCGCTCATCTTCACCTGCTGATGCACGAGACCCTTTTAAACAAACAAGAAAACACACATGAACAAGTTGTAAAAGTAAAGATGAAGGAAGTTACATTTCCTAAAACGAAAACGAGCTCGAAACTCGGGCAGCCAAGCCCATCTTCCGCTACAAACCCCAGTCAGTAAAAGACAAGTTTAACACTGTAGCAGATACACGAGCCCCGTGAACGCCACACAAAGACAACTTCAGCTTCCTAAAAGCTCGAAGTATCAAATAGTGTCTTATTTGGAATCGCTACCTCAAAGTCTTTAAAGTTGTCGCTGTCGCCTGTAGCTGCCTTCTGGTCGTTTCCCCTCCCAGTTCTGCTGCCTCTCTCTCAGTCGGCTGCAGCGACACACTCATCATCATCATCATCATCATCATCGCAGCTCCACCATTTCCTGCTGGTGCATGATGGGCTGAGCTTTCAGCAAATAAAGAGGCGTTCAAGACCGACAGTGACTGAGAGCGCGGAGAGGCTTTGAAGTCAGAGAGGAAGAAGAGGGTTGAGGAGGAAAGGGTTTGAGCTGAAAGTTATTTTCATCTTAAAGACTGTTGATTTAAAAAAAGTTCAAAATGTGGGTATGTAATGAAGCCTAATGGGAACCAGACACGCGCAGGATATAAAAGGTTTTATAGAAAAGCCATGCTGTCAGTGCTGTCAGTAGGAAGAGGCTTATGAAATACATACAGGGCGTGGACACAATAATAGGAACACCTGTTGCTTACATTTTAAAGGTGCAGAGTTTAGTATTTAGGGCCTGTAGGCTATTTTTAATGATCAGAGTAGGGGGGTAGCTGAGGTGTGACATCATATTTTTTTATGCCTTCCCGCCAGTATAAGGCATAAAAAAAAAGTATATCTCAAGAATGAGGGAATTCCTTCAAATTTGGCACAAACATCTACCTTGAGTCAAGGATTAACTGATTAGATTTTGGTGGTCAAGGCTCAAAGGTCACCATGATATTTCATCCATCTCATTCTTGGGAACACTATGTCTAAAGAACACCTTGAGGGAATTTCTTAAAATTTGGCACAGACATCCACTTTGAGTTGAGGGTGAACTGATTAGAGTTTGTTGGTCAGATATCAAAGGTTAAGGTCACTGTGACCTTGTCCATTGCATTCTCATGTATACGGTATCTCAAGAACACCTTGAGGGAATTTCTTCAAATTTGGCACAAACATCTGCCTTGAGTCAAGGATGAACTGATTACATTTTGATAGTCAGGGCTCAAAGGTCGCCATGATATTTCATCCATCTCATTCTCAGGAACACTATGTCTAAAGAACACCTTGAGGGAATTTCTTAAAATTTGGCACAAACATCCACTTTGAGTCAAGGATTAACTGATTAGATTTTGGTGGTCAAAGGTCAAGGTCACCATGATCTTGTGTCCATCTCATTCACAGGAACACAATATCTCAGGAACATGATATCTCAAGAACAACTTGAGGAAATTTCTTCAAATTTGGCACAAACATCCACTTTGAGTCAAGGATGAACTAATTCGATTTTGGTGGTCAAGGGTCAGAGGTCAACATGATCTTGTGTCCATCTCATTCTCAGGGACACAATATCCCAGGAACACAATACCTCAAGAACACCTTGAGGGAATTTCTTCAAGTTCGGGGGTCAAACACCAAAGGTTAAGGTCACTGTGACCTTGTCCATTGCATTCTCATGAGTGCAGTATCTCAAGAACACCTTGAGGGAATTTCTTCAGATTTGGCACAGATATCTACTTGGACTTAAGGATGTTTTCCAAATTTGGTGCAAATGTTCACTTGGGCTCACAAATGTACTGATTCAAAGGTCAAAGGCCAAGGTCACTGTGACCTCATAAAATATGTTTTTGGTTGTAACTCAGGAGGTCATATGCTAATTATGACAAATTTTCACACAAGTGTCTAGTGGAATAAAATTATGAATGCTGGCACGTCATATCCAAAAGGTCACAGCTCAACTTCACTGTGACATCAAAATGCTCTGTAAAAACATTTTTCTGGCCATTATTCAACATCATAACTCGGGAACAGAAGAAGAGACATTTAGTGACACTAATCTTCAGTGCTCATCTTGAAACTGTACTAATGGTAGCTATAGATCTTCCGTGTTGTCAGGGAGAGGATGTGTGTGGAGCATCCATGTCTTGCAAACATGGTTGTAAAATTTAACTGCAACTTGACAGGTTTGTGAGTGGGAAACAAGGCGGTAATTCTAGTTTTCTTAAATCATGACCCTCCCCAGAACTACAAATGTCTTTACTTGAGCCTCCCTGGGTGACTGGGTAAAACATATAATTCTAAGATAACAAAAACACAACAGTTGTTATTTTCAGGTGATTATACACTATTGAAAACACAGTTATGAAAATTATACACTATTTCTGCCAATATATCCCCCCAAATCCTACACACTGGACCCTGAAAAAACAGCAATTTAAAAAAACATGATTTTAATGTTTCATGTGTTGGATGTTAAATATGAAGCAGACATAACTTATCACAAAGCAATGAGGTAGTGTAGCACATGCAAACTTGGGGTATGGGACTGGTTATTACATTTCGCAGGTTATATTTGAAAATGAACACCTAGAGGTCTTTCTGCCTGCAGTGTTAATGTTTGTCTATGTGTACCTCAGTATAAAACGACTGTCTCTTACAGTAATCTTTGTTTGCACTCCTGGAAACCCTTATGTAAACACTATATACATACTTTGAAAGTACTGTGGAGTATGTGTTGTAGTATAGTAAAGAGCCAGTAGAGGGAGATATTGAGCTTTGCTTTGCTCGCTGCTTTCAGAGTATGGACAAGACATGAAAAGCTGCAAAGTCACGTCCAGAAATCTGGAAAATCAATATTATTTGGAAAGTCCTGCTGAGTTGTCAGTCCAATGAGCATTTAATGTTGACAGTCAAAGTCTTTATTCAGATACAGTGTGTTTACTTGTCATGGAGACCCAAACAGAGATCCATGGAGCTTCAGGGGTCCTTGAAAAACTTCCAGGGTGACAGTTTGAGGACAGTTTAATCTATTTAATTACCCCATGAGAGACAGTTTAAGAGTGTGTTTCCCCTGAGAGGTTTTATTTTTCAATGTGATAAAAAACATCTCACATGGGGATTTGTCGTCACAAATGTTTCTTCTCTGGGATTAATTAGTAAATTGTATGATAATTAAAAAATAATAATGTGCAATTATTTTTTATTGGCAAAAGATTTAAGCCAGCCAGTTTGGGAGGAACTTTGAGACAATTAAGATGTAAATTGTGTAGCAGTGACTGACGCTCGAATATTAGAAAGAGGTTCTTATTTTATAAGTAGCCTAGATATTCTTTACTAACTATTCTGACTTTTTTTCTCATTAAAATCTGAAGCATGCCTGCTGCAGAAGCTTTAGATAATCATGTTGTGATGTAACTGTATTCAGCCTGGTGCACTAGAGGGCACTCTTGGTTTTGTGATGATTTGCAGGTAGGGCGATGAAAACAGATCAATAGCATTAGCTTCGCCCTGGTTCCCTTGTCAAAAAGCGAATTTTTCCATTGTTTTTTTTTATTGCAGAAAACAAGAACTATGGCAAACAAATATGTAGGACACTTAAATATTTTGTTCAGCAAGATCATTTTCAAAAATAAGCATCACTTTATGATTTTTGAAGCCTAATTGCAATCACCAGCAGTAAAATGCTAACATTAGGCTATAAATTAACTACACCAGGGTCGCATGATTCAATGTTGCCCCTCCAGCACGGCTGTAAAACTGTTTTTGACATGAACCACCTTTTTCAAGACACATAAAAGCTTCAAATTTCATGAGTGGGGTATTTACTGACAAATCTTATGTAATAGAACAAAGTGTGAAGGTCCCTTAAGCTTGTGTTAACATCAGGCTGTATTTCAGGCATCTAAGCAAAAATTCATTCAAAAAACCCACTGATTTTGAGTCGAGGGAACCACGAGAGGTAAAATGTGAACTCATTTCCGGGTTTTAGGACTCAGGTTAGGACAGGTTGTCTGTGTAGAAAACAGTAGTACATTGTTCAGTGTTGCTGTCAAGTGTTGACAACATGACACAGCACTGATCCTCCTTACAAAACAAGCCCTGCATATTAAGTGCACACAAACCTGTTGGCTGTCTCTGTGAACAATAATAATAATGACAGCTCCTCATGCCCACTAGTCATATTTTCTGCTCATCTCTGCTCTGATTTATATAAAAGGAGTCTACATTTCAGTCACAACAGTCTTTCTTAAGATGTATCAACAATCATAAAGTGACATAGTGCTTAAACATAGCCCATAATAATACTATAATTACTTTAAAGTACACCTTGGGTTGGTCCCAGATCATCACTGACTTAATAATGCCTTAGCCTGAATGCAGCCTGAGATCCTCCTGCAGAGGTCTGTTATTAATTGTTAGGTTGAGGCTATAAACCAGGGGAGACAGATCTTTTAGAGTCAGAGCCACACAACTCTGACGAGGGTGCATTCACACCAGGATAGTCTGGGGGACTCGGTTTGATTGGGTGGGGAATGCCGAAAAATTTCTCACCTTTATTTGGTTTGGTTCACTTTCGCACTGCACTTTTTAAAGCGGACCAAACTGCCTGGACGTCACGCAGTTACAACAGCTGCTCGTTTGGGGGCGGTATTGCCTGAAACGACCACTGACCAGGAAGAAAAAAAGCATGAGGAAGAAGAAAACCTGGCTCATTGTTTGGCCAGGGCTTACTTTGGTGTTCTCCTTACTATTCCACATCTGCCCACGAGACCTTTTCCAACTTTTTCTTGTTTTACCTCTGCTTCTCCCAGTTCGTGCTGTTGACTTCTTCTTTTTTTTCCTACCCAAAATGCACTGCACTTACATCACTTCCTCTCTTTGGTTCACTTCCTCTCTTTGGTTCGCCGGATAGTCTGTTTGCATTTCCCACTGTAAGCGAACCATACCAGGGTTCACTTGCAAGTGAATTGAGACCCCCAGTTTTCAAGCGGACCAGGGTTCGCTCATTTGGTCTGCACCAGAGTTGGAATGAGCTTTCACACCACTCCAAACGAACTGAACTATCCGTGGAGGTGGACCAGGGTTTGTTTAAAGTGGACCAAATAGCGCTAGTGTGAATGCGTCAAATGACACACTAGCTCTGATTCGTCATTAAAATCTCTCTTAAAACACTTTTTCAGAATTACCTCTCTTGAAACTGTTATTCTTCTGTTTTAACTGTGTTTTAGTCTGCTCCTGTTAAAATCTGCACACAATTTGATAATAAGCGTACAGTTTCTTTTACCAGTGACTGCTGATTCTTCTGTTCTTACTGAGCTGTTGCTCAGTGGTGTCTTTGTCTCTTTCTGTCCTCTAAGTTGTCAGTCTGGTTTTACCTCAGTATTTTGTTCTCCATGTACAAAACAAACGCTCCATACAAAAGAACACGTAGGCCTAAATTGTAAAGAGGGCATTTTACAAGTTGAAAGCATGAAAGACCATTCAAAATATAAAGCATTGCTCTTCTCCATCTGACTGAGCCCAATCAAGCTTCCCAAACTTTTAAACAGTAGTGTATATATTGTGTCTTCGATGCTAGCTATGACCCTGAATATGTATTTTAAGAGGATGACAAGTCAGAAAAACAGATCACAATGATTCTCTTTAGTGATGACAGATCTTAAATTACCTTTTCAATACATGGCAAATAGCACAAATCACAGTAGGCTAAATATTAATGTAGACTGTAGAAATACTCTGATTTAAAATGATTACTTCGTAACAGAATTAGTGCAAACAGTAAACAGATCCACTCAGGGAACTGTGGAAACAGAAGCCGATCATGTAAACTATAACTCCCACACGCCCCACAGAGAGGACAGGATGGCAGCACATAGGGCCACAGTGAGAGAGAGCTGGACAGAAATGGCTCCATTACAGAGGTCTGTTGTGCAACACTCAAAACTGCTGGAAAAACCGACACCCAGAAAGTTGCTGGTTATCGTCCTCCCACACAGGTCGGAGTCCAGGCAGCCGCGGATGTGAAGGGTGAGATCCCCTGTTGCATTGAATTCTGGGAGGATTGGAAACAGAAAAGGATGTCAGGGAATGTAAAAAAAATTCAAAGGAAGTTCACTGCCAAGCCTTCGAACCCCGACTGGCCAAACACTGTTCATCTCACACTGCGATGACACAGAGCTGGTTGATAATCAACAAAGTTTCCCTTAATTTCATCATCTTCTGTCTCGATCGCCAAGTGATGGGGTGATTCACTTTTACACTGTGATCTGTACGTTAGGCTTTAGCCTCTATCTTTATCTTTTTAACCTGTGTTTGCTGCTGAGTCAGTTTGACATCCTGGATATATCCCTAAAAGGAGATCACTTATCATTTTTCAAAAAAAAATAAAGGGAAAAAAAAGATATTATTTCTTCAGGGATTGCAGTTTGACCGTGTGGGCTTCATGCTACATACATCCACCAATTTTCCAGATCTGTAACCAAGCAAATACTCATAGTCCTCCATTATTTACTCATTAAATGCCTCATAAGAGCATCAATAGAAGCTTACAGTAGAAACTCTTTTAATTAAAATTGCTCTGTAAATGTTGATTCAACGGTTTTGTGTGATTAAGTCACAACTAATCAATCTAGTCATACTGATGTGTCTCCAGTCAGATTCTTCTGTGAGTACACTCACATGCACTGTGGTACATTATGTGGTTATTTGTAGAGTGCGCACATTTTAACAGGGTAGTGCTGTTTCAAATCAAACATGGCTTTGTGCACTTACCACAGGATCTGGGAGCTTTTCTTCTTCTGCTCGGCGAATTTCAACCGGGTGGAGCACTATTGCCAATTAACATTTGACAATGAGTGTCATTCATCAGAATATATGCTCACTATATCTGCTTGTTGTTTTTATTTCTTATTGTATCTAAAATCAACGTGGTTTCACAGCACATTACAATTGTCCAGCTGATACTGGCTGGTTCAATCACCAGGTGATCTACCAGGCTAATGATAGTTGCTGTGCTTTTCCAGTATTTACAACTTGTCAAGCATCTGACCACAAATGTGAAACAATGATGGCCCACCAACCTATGATAGTGTCTGAGCAAGTTCTGTATTGATACTGATGACAGCAAGACCATTTAGATGTTCTTGTCCCATTGTTGAACGCAGGCATGTTTTAATGAGTTTCCATTTTGAAAGACTTAGCTTAGCAGAGGCAACTGACTGTATGAAAGACAACCTAAAAGCCAGCTCGCACTGCTGCAACAGCTGTTAACATCCGACAGCAAAACGCCTCGACTGTTGTCAAGCCTCTAACTGTCGGGTCCCTTTTCCACCAACATGGAGCTGGTATCCTTTCAGTTCCCACACTAATTTGAACAGTTGCGAGCATTTCGACCAAAGATGAGTGCCGTGTCATATTCTACATGTTGGAAAGAGGATGTAGAAAGCAAAAGTAGGGAAGTCAATTGAGAAATAATAGGAAAAGTTCACAGGTACTCAATGTAATCCATAATTTTGCCCACTGTTTACTTCTGTTGATGACACATCCTCGGTTACAATGGGTCAGAACAAAACTGGTAGAAATGCTGGCTGGTTTGCTAGATAGTACCAAGGTTCCAAGAATCCTTAACAGAACTGGTTCAAGAACCAGCGCTAATTTGGTGGAAAGGCGTATAAGTGTGTGTGACTCCAATCACAGAGCCCCGGTCCCACAGAAGACAGTCTCATGACAAAAAGGTCGTGCAAAATTCACGGGGATTGCCTCAATTTGCATCAAATGTTGTGATCGCAACATTACGAAATCCTGGGGGGACTGGCTGTTCTGTAATTTTGTGAATCCAGTTTTCTTCTTACTATACTAATTTATTCTTACAATAATGCTCTGACTCTATTTGTTATGGCCTCTCATCTTTTTCTTGGGTAGGTTGTTTAATACTTTTTACATAGTTTTTGCTTCCAGTGAAAACAGGCCAACTCCTGTCTTCAGACTTTCCTCAAAGCATTTCTAACTGTGCATCTACTAAGGACACAATAAGCATCATGGGTAAAATAAAAAAAATTTGACCATCTAATATTTGTTCATGCTTTAGTGTATTCAAAATTGGTTTTACATTTATTCTACAATTACTTGTATTGTCATGTTGTCATTTTAACAATCTCCCCTCCAAGGTTCATTTAGTAGCTGTTCTGGAGCTTTTGATTTTATCACATGACTTTGAGGTAAGATAGTTTGATCAGCTGCTGCTTCCAGGGTCAAGAATGTACTTGGCAGCTATTAGTCATGTTTTAGTCATAATTTTGATCCAAATTTATTTAATTTGGTAATGTAATCTCATTATGTTAATTGTCTTACTGTTGCCGTCAAATTTCACTGTAATGTGTTTACAATATGTTTGAGAGTATTGTAGTGGTTTCCTTACGTGCTTGTCCTCGGTAGCAGCTCTCAGTCGCATTTTGACATGTGACATCCTCCCCAAACAGACACGCCTCAAGTACACCAATAGGACACTGAAGGCAGGTCAGGCATTGAGCTGTTCAACGGAAAGAAAGAAGAAAATATGTGATAATCAGATCAGCAACTCACTCTACAACATAGTTTGGATGCGTCTTATCTTCTTCAACAGTATCAGGTTTCATCAGTGCTAGTTTCCAGTTTCTCCATCAGCACTTCTAAATTTCATTAATTATATGTTTTATCTCTTTTGTTTAACAACAGAAACTGAAGTTTAAAATGAGTATTCATAGTTAACGTGTGTTCTTGATAATGTCTTGGAAGAATGTATTGATTTGCTGGAGTCTTTGGAGGTGCTGGTAGTTGGGGTTTTCTAGCTTTGGACAGAGCCAGACGAGCTGTTTTCCCCTGTTTCCAATCTTTGTACTGTGCACAGTTTTTAGAAAGTGTATGCATTGCTGTATTTTAGGTAAATAAATACAAGTACCTTTGTTTCTCTTCCTTTACTGCCACAACACCCTACTTAGCAGGTAAATTCTGGAAACAAGATACTCTCCAGATGTTTTATTTTAGTCTCATACAGCAGTCTGTATCAATTCAGATACATAAAAAGGAATGTCTTGCTAGACCTATGGGAGTAGTGTTGGATCAGACACTACCAGACTACATGTCTTTAAACTGCAGTGAGTGAAACCACCTGAGACTTTATCTTGAACGGCAGTTAATAACTCACCTTTATGTAAGTTTGTCCGGCATATTTTGTCCAAAGTAACAAGCCTGTAGTACCAACATGTTGCTTGTATAGTTATTTATTTTCACTACAATACTCCTCCAATTAATTTAGATAGTGCTTAACAAAGATATGTTGCAGAGGTCAGATGGAAATATAAAAGTTAAATATGAAAAAATAACAAAATAGATTTTCATTCCAAAACAATGATAACTATAGTAAATAAAGGCACACTTTAACTCAAAATCCTGATTAACTATCATTTTGACCTCAAGGCATTAAATATTTTTCTCAACTTACCTGCTGCGATGAAGGCACTCAGGACAGTCACTGCTTTCCAAACACTATTCATCCTTGTCCTGTCAGCGTATTTGCTTTTTAAGATATGTTTAATTAAAGGTTTAAATACCTGTCTCAGTCACATGAGCTTATGAGAATGTGATGATATGTTTTCAGGTAGAGGTAACATGCAAGAATGAAGTTCATCTGGTTTTGTGTTCCAGCTGAGTGGAGTTGACATTTCCGGTCACTACAAAAACACAAACATTCACAGCCTGGAGGAAAACCCACAGCCATTAAGTTTGAGCTCAAACGAGTTTTATTATTTACTGTCATTATGAACATGCAGTGAAGAGTTTCATGCAGTTAAGTTTCCTTTGTGGTAGTTAATGATGCATAAGTTTCAAATGTTTATGAGCTTCTGACAGGGACTGTGCAGTATGTTATTACTCAAATTCCCTCAAATTTACAGGCATAGAGGTTATAACAATGGGAATATCACAACATGGGAGTGTGTTCTTTAATCGCTTGCATACAAAGACAACACTCAGTTATGAGCAGGATCTTTTTGTTTATTTTTAAAGGCTCCAGGTACTCCAAACCGCCATTAGGGTGGCGCCTAAAGCAGCAGTTAGAGGGACCTGGATAGACGTGGCTCCATTACAGCAGTCTGTGCTGCAGCAGGTCCTGGTGACGGTGTAAGCGGCATTCAGAAGTGCTCCTGTTTCGGTCTGGTTGCAGAGAGACGAGGCAATGCAGCCTCGAGTGCTCAGGGTCATCAAATAACTGATGTTGAAGGCTGGAGGAAGACAAGGAGATCAGAGGGTGTTAACTTTTTTCTTAAGAAAATTAATTAAAGTACTAACACATTTTCGCTGTGTCTGTCTGTGATTCCTTATGTGATTGAAGAAAGACATATTCAGATCTTTACTTAAATAGTATTTTAATATTGTAACTAATTGTGTTGGAGCTAATTTTACCTTCTTTGTATTCTGGCAGGCTGTTCTCATGCATTATTAGTATGTTTTCCTATGACAACTAACGTATAAAAATTTATACGTATCTTATGTAATGATGATGTCAGTAGTTTATGCAAAACCCATGTATTTTGGAAGGCATTGATCACATAACCAATGTGCTGACAGGAGTAAAAAAAGGAAGCAGTCCTAAGAGGTCCAGTTCAGAGGCAGGTTGTGTTGGTGGATGGCTCACAGAACCATAGATTGTACAAATAATTGTTATAGCTACTGTGACATAACCCATTGCCTTGTAGGCTGCTGTTTTGAAGCCTTGAGTTTTGCATGAGAGACAGACAGCCTGCCAATCAAGTGGCCCCTCCCTTAAATATGCATAACTTTGGGCCTTAATAAAATGTATTGGGTGAGTTTTAAAAAATTCAACCCTGCATAGCTGCCATGAACAATGAAATTAGCTATAGAGACCAAAATGGGTTTTTTTGTACCAGGCTGTAAATATGTTTATTTCTGCTGTAAAGTTGGACATTTTAACATGGAGGGGTGTCTATGGAGAAGTACTTGGTTTTGGAGCCATCCTAAAGTGGCCATTCGATGAACTGCAGTTTTGGTCCTTCCGCACTGGCTTCCTTTCTCAGCCTCAGAGGTTGCCGCTCACAAAAAGCACAGGACTTTCCCCAGGAGACCAGTTTTCAGAACTATGTGAACTTTGAGTCATTTCAAGGAACCTCACCGTGTTTCTTTTCCTAAATCTAAGCACAGTAACTTTACCTGCCTAAAACTAACTTGTGTAACTTTACGTTAATGATGTAACTTTATGTTACTGACATAATGTCATTTGTAGGCTGCCAATTTGTATCGATATATCAAACAGACTGTTGAGTGTGCACTTTCATAGGATATCAGTTGAACATTGTATGAGGATACGTTGACTCTGGGTACTTTAATCTGTCCACCTTATTCCTAACCCCCATGATAGCTTGCTTGAATCATGGGCCGAAATCCCAGAGCTGAACCAGAATTGGCATTTTTAAATTGTAATGGTCTGCTAATCCTCTTTCCAAAAGGGACTAGGAAATAAAACATAGAACACACCACCTCTTACCCCTCAAATGGGATAATGTGATCATACGTCTATCATCTCTGACAGCCATCTCAAAGCATTGATTGTTCACCTTTTTAACCAAGCCCATTAGCCATTAGCTTGCCTTGCGACATGGTTAAATTTAACAGGGCCTGAGTTAGCTTATGGTAAACATCTACTCCCTCTAAATGATTATGTATGATTTCTTCCCACTCATGACCAGACACTAACACATTCGGCAAACATAATTTGGTATTCATTTTAGCTCCATGTAAAGTGAATGAACGTGATGTTTCCCTGCTAATGCTCCACCTGTTTGCCGTAACTACGCAGTTTACACATTTTAATGAATCAGAGTTCTATGAGTGAAATATCATGCCATATTAAGAAGCAGAACTCATTGATATCAATAGTATGAAGTATAAGTAAAACAAATAACTTTTGTCATTCATTGTATATGATATGAAAGAAGACACATTCTCAGCCTAGATAACTAAACACATAATTCAAGGTATGGTGTTGAGCTTATTTTATCGCGTGCAATTTTTTAATTTAACTTGAGAATTTAGTCAGACAGAAAAATACAAGGATATCATGTGCTGACGCTAAGTGATAACAGACCTGTCATTCCAGCTGTCATTCTGTTACTGCAAATTCTGATTGAATACTTTTCTGTTATGTCTAATGAAGTTCCATTGGTGTTATTATTTCTTACATCATTCCAGGTATGTGAAAAGGTAGTGTATGCATTTATCAGAAGCTGCACCCATAACCACTTCTATAGTAGCTTTCTTGGGACTAAGGTGGATGACAGAGCATTGTGTTTTGTAGGATATTCCCATGTTTTGTAGATAAAATCATAATCTGTAGAGAACCAGTAACTGTAGCTGCCAAATAAACATAGTGGAGTAAAAAGTCAAATATTTCCCTCTGAAATGTAAAGAAGTAGAAGTACAAAGTAGCAGAACATGGAAATATAGTAAAGTTTAGGTACCTCAAAGCTGTACTGAAATAGGCCTACAGTATTTGTGTTAATGTACGTCTTTACTTTCCACTACTACCATGTGTTTACCTACATGTAGCCTACTAGTCTAACCCCAGTTGGCCTGAAACCACCTTTTTATCTCTGTGTGGCACTGGGGGGGTTTGTGCTGTTTGCTTTTGGCATTGTCGGTATGTGCCGCGTTGCGTCATAGCAGCAGCAACAATGGCTGAAAGTAAAAAGTGTTAAAGGAGCAGCTGACTCAGTCACGGACATCAAACACTGGCTTTACTGAACCTGGTCACTTTAAGGTTAAAGAAGTAATATTTTTCACCTTGCCATTGTCTCCTAAGTGTAGTAACTAAGCAATCAGTATCTTAAGCATTTAGCCTATCTCATACAAATCAAATGGTTGTGACGTGTAGTTTTCCAAAGCATTATGCACATTTATAAAGATGTAGTCATATATAGACATATTTAGCCCACAGGCATGAGAGTGGTATGAATCTCACCATCTAACACTCAACATAAGGTAAATCAGCACATTTTGGACAGACACAGGCTAGCTGATTCCCCATCGCCAGGCTTTATGCTAAGCTAAGCTAACCAGGACCTGGCTTGCTTCATATATGAGAAACAGAGCCATCTATTTCTAAATGAATGAACAAACTGTTAACTGTTAACTTCACATTTACTCTGCTTGCACTCTGCTGCTCCGTCCCAACACGTTCTCATCAGGGAACAGCATGTCAATTTCTATTTGTTACATGCATTATACCTTATCAAAATACACTTCCATTTTTGCTTGAATGTACAGTTTCTGCTTGTTACATGCATTCAATCTTTTTCAAAATACACTTACAATATAGGCAAAATGCTCTGTTTTTAGGTTTATTTCCTTAGGTTTGGACAAGAAAACTCTGTGGTTAGGTGTAGGCAACAAAAGCACATGATTAGGTTTGGAAAAAACATCCTGGTTTGGTTTAAAATTCAAACAGGAAACAAATAGCAGGCTCTCGTGAGCTCCCACAGGCTCCTGGGTGAAAGTCCAGATATTGTTGGATTCATCCACCTCCTCTGCCACCCTACCGAAATGGACTTTCTCTCTTTATATAACATAAGGCATTACAAACTGCTGCTACCTGGTGCGTATCATACCACTGAGAAGGGTGGCTCTGTGTGTCTGTGTCTGATAAGGCCATCCACTCACAAAGCACCAGTATTTGATGAGTTGGGTTGTTACCCACTGCCTCTAAAACTGATGTGCCCAGTGTGTATCATACTGCCACAAAATGTGCCTCAGTTTATTGGTGTCTGATGCCTACATCACCGAAAAAGTGCCAGATTTTGACGAGTTTGGAGTGAGAATGGGTGGAGTATACTCTGCTGCTCCAAGGGTGTGGTGCTCTGAATAACCAAACGGTTCCTTTCCTTCCTTCCTACTCTGAATTTACTAATGGTCCAGTATGTGCCAGTGTGCACCCCAGGACTCCGAGTGAGTAGCCTGTTTTTGAATGCGCTCGTAGAGTACAGGTGGCCGAGGCTACCATACAAGGTGCCACCTGCTACTCAGTTTTTAACACGCTCACACACCAATGGAACAGCAACTGGGAGCAATTTGGAGTTTAATATCTTGCTAAAGGATACTTCCCTATACGGACTGGAGGAGTTGGTGGAGCTGGGGCCTCTGATCTTCTGATTGGTGAACAGCCTGCTTTACCTCCTGAGTCAGAGCCACCCTGGCTCCTAATGTAGACTATTTCATCATCCTGCCTAACTTATATGCACTGATTGTTTTGAAGCATCTTACTAGTTGGTACACACAAATTTTTTTAAGGAGCTACTTAATCAGGTATAGAGTGCCCAAGGAATGAGTCCTAAAATCTGGAAATGAGTTGGTATTTTAACCCTCCTAGTTCCCTCGTCTCAAAGTGCGATGGTTTTTTGAATGGGTTTTTGGATAGATGCCTGAAATAAGGTCTGTGCTTAACACAAGCTAAAGATACTATAGCCTACTATGTTCTGAACTTTGAAGCTTCTATGTGTCTTAAAAAAGGTGGTTGCTAACAAGTGGCTAAATGAGACAACAGAACGTCATAGTGCCGAGCTGTGTTGAACACAGCTTTACTGTCTTGGTATGGTGGAGACGTTAAGTCATGTGACTGTAGTGTAGTTTGTTTATAACCATTAGCTTTTTACTGGCGATTTCATTTAGGCTTCAATAATCATGAAAGTGATATTTATTTGTGAAGATTATCTTGCTGAATAAAAGGTGTAAGCATCATAAATGTTTGTTCTCCACTATGGTTCGTTTTACAACTTATGTGTCTGCCAATAAAAAAGCAGAAAATGTTTGTTCTGCTCTGAGGTGGACCTTTTCATGTGTTGTAAGTCCAGCCACAGCTCAGTCTGAACCATCAGGACAGGTTTTTCATCCCCTAATGGTTTGTGGTCAGAGAAGAGTTACAAACTCATCAGCAGGGATACACCCATCTGTTGTCATGGGGAGCAGATGATCACTGACTCACCCAGTTTTCCCCAGTAGCAGCTGGGCTGAGCTTCACTGCAGGTCATCATGGAGCTGTACAGACATTTATCTCCCAAGCCCACCTTGCAGGTGTGACATCTCAGAGATTCACCTGTGATACAGAGAGAGAGAGGTGAAGTGATGGAGAATGGAGTACTTTCTTATAAGTTATGTAAAAGAGGAAAATAAGTAAGATAGCAACAATGATGAAACTCCAAACTGTGTCATCAAGCCAGCATTACACAAATCACATGAATACAGTGCTGACATCATCGTCTGTATCACTTCTCATCATATCTGTCATCATAATCACTGAAACATGTGAGTGTTAATAATAACATTAATACACTCTCAGTGATTTGGTCTAAAAAATAATAACTTTGTGTGGCTATGTTCTATTTGAATAGCTTTGCCTAGGTTTTGACCTTTTTTAAAACTGCTTTTCAGTCTCCGTTCACTTTGCATGTAGGTGAAGTGCCAGAAACACCAACACTACATCAGCAAATATTTTAGTTCAAACTAACAGTTACACTTTAACACATACATATAACCTCACCTACCCAAACCCATCCAAAACATCAACAAAGACAAAAAAAAGTAACATGGAAAGCCAGTGTATGTGAGATGGAGATTCCACATTATGTAAAAAATTAATATGAAGCCATTAATTTTCTCATGCTTGATACAGTTCGATACTTCTTTGATACAACCTTCATTTTTTGGGAGCAAAGACGTATTTCTATTTCAGAATAACAAAGTGACGAGCCAGTGTTAAAGTCCAACATCTTTTACTGCCATAGGGAACCTTTAAAATTCCCTCAGGCCTAAGAAAACGTGTCTTTTTCGTATTACATGCTTCTCTTTATTGCTGTATGAGCGTAATAGGGGTATGTAATTAAAGCTTCAGGGCCGTAGCCTGGATTTTAGAAATCAGAGGTCATGGATCAACAGAATAAAACACCCACCAAAGACATGTTTTAACCAGTGATGAAAATCACACCAAACTCAAGTTTTCTGAGTGTTTAAAACACTGTGACACATAAAGCATTTTCTGATCTTTGTCATTTTGACATGTTTTTGGGGTAGGTGCTGAAATGATTGATGCTTTTCTTCTTCTTGCAAGGACAGTCTGTTTCAAAGCCTTCTTTACACTGTTAGGCAGTCATTGAATTCTTGTGGCAATATACAGTACAGGCCAAAAGTTTGGACACACCTTCTCATTCAATGCGTTTTCTTTATTTTCATGACTATTTACATTGTAGATTCTCACTGAAGGCATCAAAACTATGAATGAACACATGTGGAGTTATGTACTTAACAAAAAAAGGTGAAATAACTGAAAACATGTTTTATATTCTAGTTTCTTCAAAATAGCCTCCCTTTGCTCTGATTACTGCTTTGCACACTCTTGGCATTCTCTCCATGAGCTTCAAGAGGTAGTCACCTGAAATGGTTTTCCAACAGTCTTGAAGGAGTTCCCAGAGGTGTTTAGCACTTGTTGGCCCCTTTGCCTTCACTCTGCGGTCCAGCTCACCCCAAACCATCTGGATTGGGTTCAGGTCCGGTGACTGTGGAGGCCAGGTCATCTGCCGCAGCACTCCATCACTCTCCTTCTTGGTCAAATAGCCCTTACACAGCCTGGAGGTGTGTTTGGGGTCATTGTCCTGTTGAAAAATAAATGATCGTCCAACTAAACGCAAACCGGATGGGATGGCATGTCGCTGCAGGATGCTGTGGTAGCCATGCTGGTTCAGTGTGCCTTCAATTTTGAATAAATCCCCAACAGTGTCACCAGCAAAACACCCCCACACCATCACACCTCCTCCTCCATGCTTCACAGTGGGAACCAGGCATGTGGAATCCATCCGTTCACCTTTTCTGCGTCTCACAAAGACACGGCGGTTGGAACCAAAGATCTCAAATTTGGACTCATCAGACCAAAGCACAGATTTCCACTGGTCTAATGTCCATTCCTTGTGTTTCTTGGCCCAAACAAATCTCTTCTGCTTGTTGCCTCTCCTTAGCAGTGGTTTCCTAGCAGCTATTTGACCATGAAGGCCTGATTGGCACAGTCTCCTCTTAACAGTTGTTCTAGAGATGGGTCTGCTGCTAGAACTCTGTGTGGCATTCATCTGGTCTCTGATCTGAGCTGCTGTTAACTTGCGATTTCTGAGGCTGGTGACTCGGATGAACTTATCCTCAGAAGCAGAGGTGACTCTTGGTCTTCCTTTCCTGGGTCGGTCCTCATGTGTGCCAGTTTCGTTGTAGCGCTTGATGGTTTTTGCGACTCCACTTGGGGACACATTTAAAGTTTTTGCAATTTTCCGGACTGACTGACCTTCATTTCTTAAAGTAATGATGGCCACTCGTTTTTCTTTAGTTAGCTGATTGGTTCTTGCCATAATATGAATTTTAACAGTTGTCCAATAGGGCTGTCGGCTGTGTATTAACCTGACTTCTGCACAACACATCTGATGGTCCCAACCCCATTGATAAAGCAAGAAATTCCACTAATTAACCCTGATAAGGCACACCTGTGAAGTGGAAACCATTTCAGGTGACTACCTCTTGAAGCTCATCAAGAGAATGCCAAGAGTGTGCAAAGCAGTAATCAGAGCAAAGGGTGGCTATTTTGAAGAAACTAGAATATAAAACATGTTTTCAGTTATTTCACCTTTTTTTGTTAAGTACATAACTCCACATGTGTTCATTCATAGTTTTGACTCCTTCAGTGAGAATCTACAATGTAAATAGTCATGAAAATAAAGAAAACGCATTGAATGAGAAGGTGTGTCCAAACTTTTGGCCTGTACTGTACAAAATCCTTTAATTTTGTTGTTATTCTTGCCTTCAAACTGTAAAAATCTTAAAGGGACAGTACATCCCAAAATGAAAAATACATATTTTCCTTTTATTTCTTTATCAATCTAGAATGTTTTGGTGTGAGTTGCTGAGTGTTAGAGATATTGGTCCTAGAAATGTCTGCCCAAAAATCTCTGTAGCTCACACCAAAACAATCTAGATTGATAAATAGGCTCTACAGGTAAGAGGGAAAATATGACCTTTGTGTCCTCAGTTGTACAGCATTGGTAATCTTGGTTAGCTTCGGGTGTAAGTTGACATAACTTATTTACAGCACATAAGCAAAATAGTATTTAGCATTAATCGTTCAAAATGTCGCCTCTGATATTCACTTGTAACAATTTTAATGGATGTTTTTGTAATTGTTTTCAAGAAGAATTGAGAGATAATTTTCCTCTTTGCCAAGACAAAGTATACATGAGCGCCTCCTGATTTGTTCTCTTACCTGTAACAAACATGGCCATCAATGCCGCACAGACCCCGAAGAACCTTAGCATCTTGCTCTTACACAATTGTGTGGTTGAAGACGGTCAAAGAGAGGTTCAGTGACCCAGCAGCACAGCAGAGTGTCTGAAGTGGGATTCAAATGAGCTTCACTAGCTCAGGGCATCTGCTTTTATGTCAAAGGTGTGCCAGCTAGAATATTCTCTAACACACTGAGGGGCTGTTTGATGAGAGTCAAGTCTATTAAAAAGCCAAACAAAGAGAAAAAGAGTTTATGGACGCCAGCCTCATTCCTCCCTTTGTGTGTGTGTGTGTGTGTGTGTGTGTGTGTGTGTGTGTGTGTGTGCATATTTATGTGCACGTGTTTGCGTGTGTGTTTGAACCTTTGTGAACCTGAACAACATTCATTTTCAAAAGCTTCTGATTGCAATAGAGAACAAAGCATCAGTCAACAATACCTCGATAAATATTAGGATTCTTTGTTAAAGTAATGAGGAGACACTCCCTTCACTTTTATGGGATGGAGCTTAAAAAGAATGGCATGTAATCATGGAGGGTTTAGTCTTCAGTTTAAGAAAATAATCTCAATTTTAGGTCCACTTACAACCATAGAATAGAATAGAAATGGAAATAATAACATAAATACAAAATATAAATAAAAGTTTTTAGTGAAATCTAAGCTGTGAGCTCAATAAAAAAGTCTCCAAAACATTATTTAATAAACCTGCTGCAAATTATGTTCTTTAAAAGAAAAGCTCAACATTTTGGGAGACTTATTCAGGCTGTTCTCATCTGCTGTTTATATGCATACCATAAGAAAGAAAAGTAAGGCACCAGAGTTTGTTTATAACCCACGTAATCGTAAATTATTCTAAGATACATTGTTTATACATTTCTTTTCCTAAACCTAACCTACGTAACTTTACTTGCCTAAACTTAACCTATGTAACTTTACTTGTCTAAACCTAACCTATGTAACTTTACTTGCCTAAACTTAACCTACGTAACTGTACTTTCCTAAACCTAACTTACGTAACTTTCTCATAATAATAATAATAATACATTTTATTTATACAGCGCTTTTCAGAAACTCAAAGAAACTTTACAGGCAGAAAAAAAGGGCAGGGAAATCAAGAATGCAAAACAGCAGACAAAAGAGGAAAAAATTACAGACAGGAGTAGTAGTTAGTAGTAGTAGTAGTAGTAGTATTAGTTATAGACAAAGTTATAGACAAATAAGGGTGCTGACATTACACAGTTAGGTGGGTACAAGGGAAGATCAAGAAAAAAGTAGGATGGATTAAATTTGCAAGTTAAATGCAGAATGGAACAGGTATGTTTTGAGTTGAGTCTTGAAGGAGGTGAGGTCTGTGCAGCTGCGGATTTGTTGTGGGAGGGAGTTCCAGAGGGTAGGGGCAGCAACAGAGAAAGTTCTGTCGCCCCAGGTGCAATGCTTGGTCCTAGGTACTGTGAAGAGGTTGCCGTCAGAGGAGCGAAGGATGCAGGAAGGGGTGCAGGTTTTTAAGGTAGGAGGGGGCCTGGTTGTGAAGTGCTTTGTGGGTGAGTAGGAGGATTTTGAATTGGATAATGGTATAGTCAGGGCTGTAACTTCTAAATTCTGTAACCCTGTAGGCATTTTTGAGGAAAAGTCGGCATACTACTTTTTTTGAAAGTTCAGTATGTCCCAAATAAGAATCCATCGTATGCCGGTGAAATAAGGTTCTCAGTTTTTTTATAATTCCTCTGCCAAAATGTTATGTTTTAGGCGAAATTTGCATGTGTATGTATACCTGTCTGTGTGTGAGCAGGGACACTACTGTGCACATTTTCATAAATTTTTGTGGATGGATGTAAAATGGGCCTGGGATGATGAACCTGTTAATTTTCCAGGCTCACAGCGAATATGTTATTGGCTAGCTAGCATGTAAAAGTTAGCTTAGCAGCCACAGTAGCACACCAATTTTTCAAGCAAATTAATTTTTGCTGTGTCACTTTATGGTGTGACCCAGCAGAATGTTTTTCACAAATAAATGAAAGAAATGTCTCAGACATAGGAAATGTTCTCTGTTAGTTTTAAATATTATGACGGATGAAGACTGCTGCACAAGTATTAGTAGGTTATACAGAGTGGCTGGACGCAATACTGGCCTTGGGTCCAATATCAGGAAGCTCTTCAGCCAAAATGCCAGGTGGATTACAGCCTGGATCGTGACTAAACATATATCCTTTGGATGGGTCAATATTAAAGACATTCATTGGAAGAAGTAAAGTTGTTGTTGTTTTTTTTTTAATCCCATTCACTCATTAAGCCTTGATCTGAGGCATTACATTCATTACAACCCTCGTCAGGCACTCTGCTTGACGAAGGTTGTAATGACCGAAACGTAGCTGCTGTGTCCCATTAAATATTTTGCAAGTTTGGCAACAGTGTGCGGGAATCTTTTTTCTTTCTTGACCTGCTGAAGTTTTTTTCTGACGCACCTGTTCAGGAGACTCTTCAAAGGTGTGCATGAGCCAGTTTTTTGACTTTATTACATGGTTCTAAAACGCTCTTCTCATTCTTGCACAAGTTCCAAAATAAAGTAAACTGAATGGATATGTTACGCTGCTATCATGTATTTAACGCAAGTAGTTGGAAAACAATGCTTATTAAAAGTCTTTATTAAATTGGCATGAAGACCAACAATAAAATAACAGCAACATTTTGACTGGAAGGTCTTCACTAGGTTGTATGGAAGAAAAGAATGTTCACATACTTATTTGAAAAGACCAATCTTAAATGTGTTTTTATTGTAGAAGTTATTGTGTCCTGCATTTATTGTAGCAATAGTAAACAAAGGAAATGCTCTTTTAAACTACATGAACTACAGTCCCCCTCCTTCTTCCCTAATCCATCCTCTTCTACAGCTGGCTTTTGAGTTGGTTATTGTCTCGCCATCTATAAACAAATCATAGTCAAACACAAACAGAGACCTCTGCCCTTAAGTGCACTCTCGTTGTCAGTGTGTGCAGTTTTGACCAAAAAATGATGATAATGCAGCACTTTTCTCACAATATGAGCCATTATTACATTATGAGCTGTTATCACATTATGAGCCATTATTACATTATGAGCTGTTATTACATTATGAGCCATTATTACATTATGAGCTGTTATTACATCATGAGCCATTATTACATTATGAGCCATTATTACATTATGAGCTGTTATTACATTATGAGCCATTATTACATTATGAGCTGTTATTACATTATGAGCCATTATTACATTATGAGCTGTTATCACATTATGAGCCATTATTACATTATGAGTTGTTATTACATTATGAGCTGTTATTACATTATGAGGGGCGCCAGTAAGTCTCATAATGTTATAAGTTATTACATTATTACATTATGCACAAAGCTGTTATTACGTTATACGCTCATGATTTTATTACATTATGAGCCGATTATTATATTATGAACCTTTATTACATTTTTGTTATTACATTATGAAGCGTTATTACATTATAAGCCATTATTACATTATGAGTTGCTACATGGGTGCAAGACAGCCCGATGCGGCTGCAAGCCTAACACATGTACTGCATCTTGCAAGTGTAGAAACTACAGTGACACATGTATGAACAATTAAAGTGTGAAGTTTGTTGTGTTGTTGAGCCTGTGGATGCATAGCTTTGTTAGCTTACATTAGCTTGTTACCACCCACATTTTTGGTTTTTGATGTTTGTGCATTTAATAAATGTATCAAAACTATATAAATGGCCTTTATTGTCATACTTGTTGTATAATTATTATTATCATAAATTATAAATCAATAAATTAATACACTTTTACAACTTACTATAAAACAGACATGGATTCAGCAACAGACATGGATTCAGCACCATATTTCCTCGTTTTGACCCAATTATTAAAATGCATGCAAATTATGCAATATGAAGAAAATATTTATTTATGACAGATTAACTTGTGGACTTTCTAACTTAGACATTAACTATGTAAGATCATCTTTATTAGTTGTTTAAAGTAAATACATGTAATGATTTCCTGTTTTTTAACTCATTATTACATAATTTATGCAAATTATGCTAATAAGGAAAAGTATCATAACTGTAACATGGTAATGGATGAATTCCTGGATGTCACAAACATGGTCATGTACACTTAGATCACCTTTATAAGTTAACAAGAAGCAAAATTATACCCATTTCCAGTGTTTGGCATAATTAATTTGCTTATTATGCAAATCACTCATTTATGACTGAACAGTGACCCGTAGAGCTCTGCATACGGCAGAAATGGATTCAGCACTTAAAAATCATATAAAAACAACACATGAAGTACTTTTCCTCAAAAATGCCTACTATGTCATTTTCTGAAGAGTTTTTTCAATTTTCGGTCCTGACTAGTAAGGAACAGGGAGCCAGTGTAGGTTCTGGAGGACAGGGGTTATGTGGTGACGGGAGATTGGAGATTGTGCTGTAGAAGATACTGTTGCAGTAGTCGATACGAGATGTAGTACAAGCATGAATGAGGGTTTCAGCTGCAGGGAAGGAGAGAGAGGGGCGGAGGCAGGCAATGTTTTTGAGATGGTGGAATGCTGATTTGGTGACTTGCTTGATGTGTTGGTTGAAGGAGAGATTGCTGTCAAAGATGACTCCAAGGTTGCGGCAGTGGGGGGAGGAACTTTACTTTCCTAAACCAAACCTTCATAACTTTACTTGCTTAAACCTAACCTACATAACTTTACTTGCATAAAACTAAGCTACGTAACTTTCCTAAACCTAACTGTGGAGGTGGGCATAGTCGGGGTTCAGCTGCAGGAGAGATGTCAAGATGGATCAGAAGAGCAGCGCCAGGTCAGTTGATTTGCACAGCTGGTGCTTGTTAACTAATTGTACTCTACCTTTCAAATGCAGTAGCGTGCTGGGCCTCAAGTGGCTGCTGCACACCACAAAGACAGACAGGCTGGCTGTCAGGATTGTTTGGCAAGGGCTGAAACTATTATTTGGTGAGACTGAGGGACTCCAGAGACTGAGCCGCATGCACCAGAAGAAGCCGGGCAACAGCAGGCGCATGGTGGCTTTTTGTTTAATGTTTATATTGAAGTATTT